ACAGAACTGTAGGAGACGGGGAAGAAGAGTTTCTGAATTTTTTCAGGAGGAGGTTACAGAGTAAGATCTTTTTCCCATTTTGGGAAAATAAAGCAGTCACAAAGTTAAGAGAGTGGTGGTTTCCCGGTTAAAATGCATGAACACACTTCCTGTTAAAGGAACTAGAGTTTGGAGCATCGCAAACATCCGCGCCATTCTTTGAAAATGTGTCTCAGAGGCATTTCTTTAGAAAATTTTCCCATAAAATTCCTGGAGAAGCTTGAATACAGCAAAGCAAACAGGAAACAGAGTTCAGTCCGTGGAAGGTGCAGGGGAGAAAACCCGGTCTTTGAAAATGTGGCTGCCTCTGAAGGTCATCACAGTGCAGACGGAGGGAAGGCAGGGACCATACAGAGCTGGCACAGAGGCTGGTTGCGGGGCAGGCGCTGTGCCAGCGACCAGCAGGCTGCGTTTGAGTCTCTAAAGCTTTATTCTACCTTTTCACACAAATTCTCCCTCTGCAAGAAATGTCCCTCTTTTCCATACTATTTAAGACAAGTTCAGAATGAAGTCTGTAGAAATCCACCAGAAGTTTCTTTAGCCTAGAGTAGCAGAGGTCTGGAAGACTTTTCAGTCACAGCACATTTTAGAGTTTGGACGAGGTCCACCGTTCCTGTTCAGGTTTCTGTTAGCAGAACGGGGGTGGCCCCTGCTCCTGCTTGTCTCTTTGACGAAGTGATTTCGCAGAGCGGCCGGGTCTGTCGTCGCCACGTTCTGGGGTTCACTGCCAGCTCTGTAGCCGCACATCCGAGAGACGGTCTAGTGCCCGGAGTCCAGTGCATTGGGACCAGGACTCGAGTCCCACTGGGGGCACCTGCTGGGCGCGTGAGGAGGTAGGAGAAGGTGGAGAGCCGCGCAGCACTGGCGGCCAGCTGGACCAGTTAGCAGGTTTCCAGGATCTCGCTGCTGCCGGACGGCCAGGACAGCTCAGGAGTCCGTGCGGCCCCTGGAGGGACAGGGGTGCATCTGGGGTGCCTCACCCGGTGATGGGCTGCGGTGTCCCCGGGGCGGGGACCCCTCGCCTCTGCGGCCCAAACCCAGGCCTAAGCACCACCTTGGAGTCCGCCTGCTGCCCAGGTGGATGCATGGGCCCTGCCTGCCTCCCATCTTGCCGTCGCCCCCAGCAGTCCAGGCTGATTCTCTGACAGCCCCGCTCCCTGTGTTAGCAGGTGTCACATGGTTCTCTTGATGTTCAGTCCATTTTCCTAAGTCTCAGCAGCTGGGAAGTTGTGGAAATATGTGGGACTAAAGCCGCAGGGTTCCTGAGAAGAGCTGAGGGGGGCAAACAAGCACGGCCCCCTGCCCCACGGTGCCCCTCGCATCGGCGGACCCTGCGTGGGGACTTTCCTTTGCACAAACGCACGCAATCCAGCGCAGCATGGCTGGGACATCTGGGAGCCCCGAGGCTGAGCACATTTGGTTCCTCCGCAAAGGCTCCCGCCTCGTTTGGCCAAAGGCACCCCTCGCACCTGCTCTCTCAGGGTGTCAGCACCCAGCACAGACAGGGAGAGCTGCGGCAGCCCCTGTATGACATTCGGGAGGCTCAGAGCCTCGATGGCCTCTTACCCTGTTCTGTGGGAGCTAAAACGCCCCCCTTTCTTAGTAAATTCAGACCGCCCAGCTCTTTGTCATTGTTGCTAACTTTTGCATAGTTTCTCTCCGACAGAGCACCTACCCTGTCCTGAGGGGCACCTCCCTTCACAGCCCCCTCCAGAGATGGTGGCCCACTTCCAGGTGTTATCCGAGTTCACTCTAAATTCCTCTGGGAGACAGAAATGGGAGCTGTGAGAGCCTGTCTATTGGTGACCGATGTCCTGGGGCCTCCCACCATCCTGGTGCCCAGAAGCAGCGTTTGTAGGCTGCAGGGAAGGCCCCTTGTGGCAGAGCCCCTCTCTGCTGGCTGCACCCCTATGATGCTGGGTTGGGGTGCGCACCTCCGCCCACAGGAAGGCCTTGACGCTGGCGAGCACCCCACCACCACAGCACAGTACAGGAAGCCCTGGAAACTCTGGCTGTAGTGGAGGAAAGAATCAAGATCACGGCGTCACACGTCTCCTGGCTGTTCAATGTATTGGGACCAGGCTTGTCCTCTCTGCCTGCAGCTGTTGATCAAGCACTCGAGTAAAGAGCCGTGGAGGCTTGGAGAAGTGGGGACCTATTTTCTCCTCTCAACGAGTTTGCTCTCCAGCTGAGGAGTGGACCCGTCTCCTCCACGGACAGCAGCACGTGCCGGTTGGCATGGGGAGGTGCGTCCCTCCCGGTCAGCACGAGGACATTCCCATTTCTGAGCCAAGGGCAGAAAGCCCTCTGTGGGGCAGGGAGTGGGAAGCAAGGGTCCAGGCACATGTGAGAAGTGGGAAGTTAAAGCAGAATGCAGCAGGTGTGTGGCTGGGCTTCCAGAAGCCGCTGCGCCAGGTGCATTCTTCACCCTTGATGACCTGCCCACCACTGCGTCCAGAGCGACAGGCTAGAACTGTGAGCTGGAGTCGAGGTGCGGTGGGAGGGGACGTGGGGCTGTGCCGGGTGGGTCTGGAGTTCTGTTTCCTCCAGTTCTGACCTGGGGTTTGTAAACTGTAAAAAAACAAATGCAATTTTCCACAGAAGTGAACAAAGCCCCTGTTTAGTTGGGAAAACAGGATGGCTAAATATTATGAGAACCACAGGCCCAGCACGGAGTCCCATCACCAGGCCAGGTCACCAAACTGCGGCTTAATGCCCAACCCTTTTACCAACCAACTATAGGTTCAGCCTCTCCCAGATATATAGTCTTAACTGGTTAACCAGGAATTTTCTGGCCAGCACCAGTGTGGTAATCTGTCACGTATGCTGTCCACTCTTCAAAGGAAGATGAGGTAAGCCACCTAAAAGACCATTTTGTCCTCGAAGCAAGGTGACCACACACTAAATAATCCTTTTTTCTGCTGATGACTTCCTTTAAAATTTTCCCTTTCTGCAGCCCTTTGGAGCATCTCTCTCCTTGCTGGGTGGGATTCTCCCTGGTTCATCAATCACTGGATAAAGCTGATTTGACCTTCACATTTACTTGGTTGAATTTTTTTTTAACAATCCTTGGAAATAATTTCCACTCACACATAGGAACCACGTGCAAGGAACCATGGGTAGTGCTCGGCGTTAGCGTATTGTGTGAAAGAACTGTTAAGGAGGTACTATCATGAACCCCGTTTTATGGATGGCAAAACTGAACTTTTAACCTAAGGTATCGGACTCCAAAGCACGTCTTGTGCCTCTTTAAATGTTTGAGTTAAACTATTAATAAGATAAATCGACCTGAGCATCCTCTTGGATTTGTTACCATAATTCCTATCTCGTCTCCTTGCAGCCGTTGGGCAGCTGTGGTAACCCCTGCCTCACCTTGAATGCCCACAACTCTCCAGTTCTCAGGACGGGGCTTCCGTGCACTTGTTTTGCTCCCTACGGGCTGAACTTGTGCTGAGCTCCTGTTCTGTGTCTCCTCTGCCCGTGGACTGCCAGGTTCCTGGGTGACACCTCATGGGGAGTCTGATTCACCTCGGAGAACTGACATACCCATTGGCCTGAAAACCCTTGATGCTATTGGCATGGGATGCTATCCAGGGTGCTGCACCCCCTCAGTCCGCCCGCACAGCTGTCAGGGCCTGCGGTTCCTCATCTGGCCGTGGGCCCGGGGTTGCAGCTGTGCGCTTGGAGGTGCGGTACCCCAGGTACGAGCCTCTGCATGGTTATATGTACATTAAGGATTTATGTAAATATATGTAATTCTTAATGATGTGTGCAAATAAGTTTCTTAAACTACGACTTTCATTTCAGAATGGAAGCATGCTGAGAAATATTTATGATGAAAGGAGGCATTGGTAAGATTACAATCCCTGAGGTGTTGAGAGGAGGAAAAGTCCAGATTCTGGTTCAAGGTGAGGAACATGATAAATATTAAATATAACCTAAGTCAGGGTTCTGAATATTAAATGTCCGTATATGTAAAGGTCTTCTGCCCTGTGTATAATAAATACTGAACATTGTTAGCTATTGTGATCATTATTAAAATGGGGATGATATATAACTCATGAGGTTATAAATATTAAGTGAGATCCTGTAGAGTGCCTACTTAACAGATATCCAAGTATCACCATTTCATTGAATCTTGGAGGTACCATTATTTTAGGTACCACCAAGAAAGAAAAAAATACTGCCAACTATACTGTGCTTATAAATAGTAAGGCAGATCCCAATTTGAAGTGTTAAATATGAAAAATTTTGCCCCAGAGCCAAAATAGTTTTTCCCCCTTTCTCCTTCCCACTACTTAACTAGCAGGGAGTGTACGCTCCCCAGAACCGGGAATTCTCTTGCCTGTTTCCCCTCCTCCCAAGACTCGAGGCCTCGTCTCCTGCTTCCTTGGCTCCAAGCACCGTGGGTTTCCGGCATCACTTTTATACTCCCTGCCATGACGCCCCTTCATTTTCTCTGAGCACCTCAGTGTGAATTCAACTGCTCAGCATACTAATTCTCATGATACGAGATAAATGAATATAAAAGTAAAACACAAACTTCTTCCTAGTCCCCTAAGGCCTGCAGTCTAATGTTTAGGGTCAGTGTGTTTAGTGATGTGTACATATGCCCTTAGATTAAGGGCATGGCGACGTGACCAGGGACTTCATATGAACAGGAACTAACAAAGACTGGGAAGGAATTCACACTTGAGAAAGAAATGGCAGGTGTTCCTGGGAACAAATTTATATAATGTTAACAATGGGAGAAAGGTCAAATAGAACAAAGGTGGAAAATAGGAACCTTTCCTCAAAATGACCAGAGATCTCAACAAATGCTCAGGGACCCTATTTTCTTGGTCTCACCCAGCAAGTGTAAGGTTGCTCATTTAGCTGGTCTGTTCTTGGATAAACAAAACCAAACAAACATCATTATTATCAGGAAAAATAGCAGCAAAGCAGAAATAGAACACTCAACGTTTCTGGTTATTCTGTTTATTCCAATCACGGCATGCAGCGGACATTAACTAGGGTGCTTAAAAGTCATTTCAATTAGGAATCTCTTCAGTCCTTCATCAATTATTTCAAGAGTTTTAGTCTCAAATACATTCTTCTCTTCTACAAACTTCTGAAAGAGATGAATCCCTCCGCCTACACCAAAATAATGTGCTTTGCTGGCTAAAAGCACCCTTCCATTTTCATCTAACAATCTAAGGAACGTTTGGTGCAGAGAACCGTAAGAATCCGGATTGTAAATGGTTTCTGAAGTGAGGATGAGATCGTATTTTTCAAAGAGTTTTTCACTGCTTAGTACGAGCTTACAAAACTCAGACCACTCCCCAGAAAAGAACCGGCACTTACGTAGTTTCTGTGCCCCTTCTGATTTCCTGCACCTTTCCAAACCTGCTTTGTTTACACCCTGTCCTTCGTCTTCCAAGGTGGCGTTGGCCACTGCATTCGGTAAGGTCACTCCGTCGATCACGGTGCTGTTGTAGTCCTGAAAGTGAACTTCTCTGGCCCCTCCCCTGAGCGCAGTGACACCCAGCAACCCTGACCCACAGCCAAGATCCAGCACCTTTTTCCCAGCAAATTTCACCTTGGCCTTCGTGAAATAAGCCAGGAGGTCAAAGGTACATTCCCATATTTTTAAGCCTCCCTCATAAACACCTGGAATTAGATCAGAGTGAGCAGAAAGGCCTTCGGCAGCGGCGCTCTCCCCAGCAGGGTTCTCCTGCAACAGGGCAGCCTTCGCTGCTGGCCCGTCAGCGGGCTGGGGACCTGGTAGCCTCTCCACCCTTTTATTTTCTAACACCTTCTTTAGGTCTTTAGGCAGAGCATGCTCTCTGGCACCTGCTGTCAAGCGGGGCTGTGTCCCAGGTGGCTCCGCGTCACCCCAGCTGTTAGGTGCCCTCAGGGCGCTGTCTGCGTCTGGGGAGGGGGCCGCCCTTCCCGCTGCCTTAGGCCGCAGAGGATCCCGAGGTGGGTCAAACCGTTCTGCACAACACTCTCTGCCCCTGTGGTTACCTTTCTGGCTTTCTGAGACTGGAGGCTCTTGTAAGGAATCCAGGGCCAGGGCTCCATCTCCAGGGGGCGATAGTTCGCTCTCCAGATGGCCTTCTATGGTGAAATTAAACTGGAAAGTCATCCTGCCATTAAATGCACACAATCCTTAAATTCGAAGGAAGATTCAACTTCTGGACGGACGGGTGGCGCACGCGTAACCTGCCCCAGTTATTCAATTAGTTCGGTTGGCGCTGCAGTTACAAATACTCAGAGATGTTTCCAAATGACTCGGAAGGTCTCCGCCCCTTTCACATTCTTCGCCCGGGCAGCCGCGGGTGAGCGTCCGCGGACACCTGCGCCCCGGGCACCCGGGGGCCGCGAAGCCGCAGTTTGGGGCGGCACCTCCGACGAGGGCCGGGCGCGTGGCCAGCCTGCAGGCGGCAGGGCGCGTGGGGCCTGTCCACGGAGCCCGCCCGGCCCCCTTCCCCGCGGGCCCAGCTCGAGCCCGACTCGGCCTGCCCCTCAAGGGCCGGGCGCTCCCGGAGCCTCCACGTCCCGTGCAGGGCCAACCAGGCCTGGGGACGCTCGCGGCCCTCCGGATCCCGGCCTTCGGCGCCCAGAACCCGGCAACACGTGGAGCCTCCGCGCGAAGAGCGCGCACCACCCACCACCGAGTCGAGTCCTTCGCGTGCCAGACAAGCCGCCTCCTCTCTGTGGTTAGTGGGGGCGGCCAGCGGAGAGCTCGCAAGGCCTGCCGGTCCGGCGGCGAGCTTCCGGTCCCGGCGGCGGGCTTCCGGTCCGGCTGGGAGCTGGCGGGGCTCGGGCGCGGCGGCGGCATGTCTGAGGAGCGCGCGGCGCCGGCGAGCGCCGTGTCCCTCGGGGAGGTGAGGAGCTGGCCGGAGGCGCTGTGCCGCCGGGAGCTGCCCTCCGTCCTGCCCCAGCTGCTGATATCCTTCTCCGGCCTCCGCGGGCGGGTCCGGGCGCGCCCGAGGCGAGCGGGGACGGCGCCGGCGAGCGCCGTGTCCCTCGGGGAGGTGAGGAGCTGGCCGGAGGCGCTGTGCCGCCGGGAGCTGCCCTCCGTCCTGCCCCAGCTGCTGATATCCTTCTCCGGCCTCCGCGGGCGGGTCCGGGCGCGCCCGAGGCGAGCGGGGCCTGGGCTCGGCGGGGCGCGGCGCGGCCTGCCGGGCGGGGGGAAACTGCCGGCGCTCGCACGCCCGAGTGGGGAGCCCGGGCGCGCGCCTCGAGCTGAGGGGCAGCGGAAGGCCGCGGTTCCCCGGAGCCGAGGCTGCAGAGGGGCTCGGAAAGGGACATGCCCCCGGCCCTCCGCCTTTCTCCGTAGCTGCGGGCTGGAAGGAGCTGCTGCCCAACCGGCCTTCGCCCCCTGGGTTGCGGTGACTTAACCGCCTCGTCCGCTGCAGGCCGTTTTCGGTAGCTTCCTTTGCGGTTGAAAGTGTGTCTGGGGTCCTAGCCCTTCGTTGTCAAAGGTACCTTTTAAAGTTACATCTTTGAGCTCACCTTCAACGTAAAGCTACACCGAAAACAACACTCCCCGAGAGTCTCAGGTTTTTACAGCTAAAGCCAGGTGTAATCAGCGTTGCGGAGAAGTCCGTGACCCGGGCATTGGCACGATCCCGCGGAGGTGCCCGAGCGCGCCCTTAGCCGTCCTGCAGGTGCGGAATTGCTGTTCTCAGGATTTGGCTTTTTCGATTCCTACTGCCAACAGTTAAAAGTACAGAATATGTACCATGCGGGGTGTGAGGGTTTGGGGGAGCAAGGATAAGGAACACAGCTTGTAGAGCGGACTTCGGTGATTTCAAGTCAGCATCCCCACCTGATTTTGCATCTCAAACTTCCCCAAGGACCCAAACATGTCCTCCCGCTTTTTTCATTTAGATAAGTGGCTTCCCCAGCTGAAACCTTTAATTCTCTCTCACATCCAGTCAGCAAGTTGTTTCTGAATCCATCCACTTCCCTCCATCTCCGTTGCTGCTGCTCTGTTCCAAACCCCATCACCTCTTCTCACCTGGACTATTGTTAATAGTTTCCTTGCTTCTACTCATGTTCTATAATTGACTCCAAAAAAACTCAGAGTGGAAAACATACTATTGTGTCGTTTCCTTTTTAAATCACCTCCTATTGGCTTTTAAAATGAGGATAAAATCCGAACTTAACCTTTGAGGGCTGGGCTCCTTGTGATGTAAGCATTGTCATCTCCTGCCTAGCTTATCACACCTTATCTGCAGATACGGGAAGCTCACCTGTCTCACGATGATGCTTGTTGACCCCTCAGCCTAGTTCTCCCAGCCCTTTGTACATCATCTTATTTAGGTCTCGGCTCATATGTCACTTCCTCCATGAGCCCGTTTCAGAGCCCTCAATCTTAAGTAGTCACCCCAAAACTCCAGTTTGTAACATGCTTATCACATTACCCTGTTCAGTTTTCTAAAGAACAGTTTTACTATTAACAGAAATTAGCTTGTTTTTCATTTTTCGTCACCTGCACTGTAAGTTTTACAAAGGCAGGCATTTTGTCTTCACTGTATCATCTTCAGCATCTAGACTAGAGTCTGGCACATCTCAGCATTCAGTTAAGGGCTAAAAATGCTGTCATGTTTCAAAATGTCTGAAGGTCTCATTAGACAATTTTTTCCCCCACCTTTTGGTTGTATTTTACCTTCAACGTAATTTTTGACAAATGAAAGAAAAGTTTTCCATAAATCCTCAATCCCAACACCCAAACATAATTATTTTCATGTTTTGTATTTTACATACTCTTTTCCAGTCTTACCTGCATGTCTACATAATCATAAGTTGTGTTTCATTTTGAAAGAGACTAGGCATTTTTTGGCCTTTACTGAAATTTTTCTGTTCTGTTAGTAAGATTTCAGGAGAATCAGTTCTTGTATTAGTGTAATGGGGTTATGGTTTATTTTTCGTAGTGACACGTTCTTTAACACTATCATTTTTTACAGTACAACATCTGGATGGTATATGAGTATGTAGTTTATAACGTGGTCACTTGTGTAATGAACGTAGGATAATTTATTGACGTGTGTCTGTAAGCTGCCGCTGTGTGAGAAGAGCCTCAGTCTGAAGGTTGGTAACCTGGGTGTGCAGGAAGCATGAAAAGAGCAAGTGATGAATGGCTTAAGATGGGCTCAGAGTACTGTAGACACACTGAGGAAGAGGAAATTTCCTGTTGTAGAAACCAGAAATCCACAGATTATTACAGCAGTTTCTCATCTTTCAAAAATGCGTTGTGGCTACAGCTAATTTGAAAAGGCAAGTTTATCTCTGAGCAATTTTGAAGATATTTCCTTGAAGTATTTTCATTGTATTCTTTGCTTTTACCTAATAAATGTTTTTAAAAGCAAAAAAAATTAAGCCAGTAATTTGAGCCTAAATTCAGTCTCTTACTGATCACTGCTTCAGCTTCAAGAAGGGTCCTTTGTACATTTATTCTTAGTAAATAGTGAATATCCTATAATTGTGATACTAGTATCTTCCTTAATTTTTTTACTCTATGTATCAGCATTCTGACAACTGGATGGAGCATATTCGTAAGTAGTCTTACTGCACGGTTTCCTTTAAGGTCTAAATCCCACACATCTTCATGTTATTCCCTTCTGTTGATCTTCCTGTACAGTCTGTGGAAACTTCATTTACTTAATGACCAAATTATTCCAAATTTGAGTGCTTAAAAAGTTTAAAATTCCATTTTAGATAGATACAAAAGTGTTTTGTGTGATAATGCATGTGTAAGCACACAGTAAATTTGAAGTGTTAATTTAAACTGTTAAACTGGTTAGACATATGTAAAACATTCCCAGCCTGCTTAATAACCCTCAGCCTCAACTGCATTAAGTGTCAGTTAGAAAATACTTTCTCAGTTACGAAAAGCTGATTGCTTAGGTGGTGACAGATTTGTCTTGTGGAAAAAGTTGACTTTCTGTCTTTATTTGTTCATTCATTGTATTTGATGTGATTTATTTAGTTAGGAGAAGAGGTGGAGGGTTAAGACTGGTCTGCACAGTTCATGGATTCTGTTTACATTGCACTTGGTTGTGGAATATTTGTAAATTTGAAGCTGTGTTGCCTGGTGGGGTCTAGTTTTTTTTAGTAACAATTATTTTTTATCCTGAGTATGAGAGTTACTCATTGTATCAAATTTGAAACATGCACAAAAGCAGGAAAGATAATTAAGCATCCATTAATCTAAAATGGTTAAGATTTTGGTACAGACATTCTCATCTTGATGCTGTATATTCCTGCCAGCCTGTCTGTTATTCTGTGTATCTACACATTTATTTGTACTAGAATTGGGATTATACTACTTTGGAACCTTTTTCATTTATCCTCAAAGTATTGTGAACATTTTTTCATGGTTTTAAGTAATCTCTGAAGTCACTTTAATGATAGTAGATCATTGCCATCCATTAACTTATTCTCATATGGCTAGATGTATGGGTCTCTCCTTCTCCTGGGTTCAGTCTTGGTTTTTTGGCTATTATTTCAGAACTTAACAGTTTCTCTATGTAGAATAGACCATTTGAAACTGTACAGAGCTCTGGGTGGGTCGTACTTACACATTCTTGCATTTGGAAGAGGGCAGTGGTCTTTCTTGGCTGTCATGACTTAATATTTCTACAAAATATGTTACTCTTTTGCTTTATAGAAATTCTGAAAGTTATTGTGGAAATGTTTTTACCTCATATGAACCACCTGACACTGGAAGACACTTTGTTCTCACAAGTGCTGCCAAAGGTACTGGACTGTTAGCACCTCAGTCAGCCTGCGTGTTAGGAAGGCTGCTGAAGTCTAGCCTGTTTTAGATCATTTATTCTTAATTGTGGCTTTTTCCTGCAGTGTAGCCAACATATTTGAAATACAAATAAAGCAGTAATAATAGATCTTATGTGAGAATAGGATGGTATTAATGTGATCACCAGGTGATCAAAAACTTATATTTTTCGTTAGTATGGATCTTTTATAATTGAATATGCATTATTTGTAGCCAATTTAATATCCTCTTATATTTTAATGAAATGAAAATTTGAATAGCCCCTTTGTTGTATCTTCTCTGAGAGTTTGTTAATAATTGTGATTTTCACTGTGTGAAAAATGGTGCCAAAATTTCTTAAGTAACTCTTTAAAAAAAACTGGATTGATAAAATAGACCAACTCAGAGAAAACAGTAAATGTACTGACCACAGTTACCATTTAGATACACATTACACTTTTCTCGCTGAAAAGCACAGTCCTAACTTTGTTTTAACTGAGAGTGCTAAAGGTACTTTGTTGCCAAAATGAAGCATTTTTTAATGATAATTTTTATTGGAATTGATTTCAAGGTTTAGTTTTTAAGTAAATAATCTGCATTCCTTTTACTCATATTTACTCAGTTGTTCTGTATCTAATGAGTTTCTTAGAATTTGTTCTTGACCACCAGGAAGAGGTCCAGCTATTAAAGAGATGAAAAGAAGAATTTTGAGTGTTAAGAGGTTGTGGGAAACAATATCCTCCTCGATTGTTTGTGTTGTTGGCTGTGTGTTATTTTTGCAAGGTTTAGGCCATTTAAGTTGTGCAAGATCTGGTTATTAAGGTCTTAGGCTAGTTAAGTTTTCACAAAGCGACTTAGTTCTGAGGCACTTGCTGTGCCTCTAACCCAGGAAGGGAAGGTATTTTTACTATTTTGGGTGGATCACAGGGGAACTTGGTTGAATACAAGTGAACAGGGAATTCAGCACAAATTCATCAGCACCGCCGGAAAGTACCTTGTAAATACCTGTAGGAATGGCCATGGTTAAAATTGTCATCTCATATTGTGTAAAAACTAGCCTTTTCCTTTGTTATATCACCAAAACAATAAACTTTGATTTTTTTTTCTTTAATGGACGTTATTAAGTAGATTCAAACCACAGAAAAGGAAGACCAGTTTCTGTCTGACGTTTTTTTTTAAAGAGATTGTATATAGAAATACTTTACATATATATATGTATGTATGTATGTTTACTTATATATTTGTCAATGTGTATATATTTATTAGGTGCAGGTAAGCTTGACAATATCCCATGGCTGATACGAATAGAAAGTCAAATCATTTGACTTTTTTCTTTACTTAGTTCCTTTTCCAGTGATTTCTGTTTCTCCTGTTTATAACCTGCTTCGTATTCACAGACTGTGGAATTATTTGATGACATGATGTGTGAATTAACCAGTCAAGCTAGAGGATTATCAAGCCAAAACGTAGAAATCCAGACCACTCTAAGGAATATTTTACAAGTATGTTCAATGTAATAGAAGGGGAGGTGGGGGAAGGAGCTTAAAGAGTGTGAAGATTTTTGTACCGATATATGTTCTTTATATAATGGCCCCATGCTGGAATTAAGTTGATAGAATTAAAGATAGGAAGGGCAAAAACATAAATTCTGAGTTTTTTATACACATTTGTGCTGAGTGAATATCTGAACTTGTATGGGAGACATATAGTCAAGATAGCATGCTCTGTCTATAATTTCAGAGCATATGTGTAGAATGCCTGTCGTGTGCTTTGATGTGTGGGTTAGGATTCCAACTTCTTTTTTTCCCTAACCAAATGGCTAGCAGTTGTCCTGGTATTTGTAGTTCTGGTAGACTGAAGTTCTGTGGAGGAGGAACATAGGACCCATTTTGCATTCTGCTGTGTCCCAAGCACCCACCATAGTGTCTGATGCCTTTTCGACGCACAGAAAACATTCTGAATGAAAATTCTTTCTTTACTCCCAGACAATGGTGCAGCTACTAGGAGCTCTTTCAGGATGCGTTCAGCATGTTTGTGCCACCCAGGAATCCATCGTTCTGGAGAGTATCAATAGTCTGCCCTCCTCAGTCCTTCATGTAATCAAAAGTACATTTGTACATTGTAAGGTGAGTGATGGATCTCAGGACACTTGAAATGGCCTAGCGTCCGTGGACAGGGTGGTTAAGTGAAATAGTGTTTGTATAAAAGAGTCTGCATTTTATCCTATGTTATTAGAATGGACTTTTTCCATAGAACGAATAGCATTTAGATAAGTATTTTTTCAAAATAAGTGGTTATCAGGAAGTTGTAAATGGTGGGCTTTTGTGGTTTCTTTGTTGTTTCATCCCGTTCCCTCTTTATGAAGAAAGAAGTGATAAGGATTTGTGTCGGGTCACAGGGATCCTGAAATCGTTCTGTCCTGGCATTGGTGGATCACATGAATTCCCTGGTGGTCGGGTGCCTGTAAGGGACACTGACCCTTATTTAGTCCGTGTCTGCCTTCCTGGGGCAGCGTCAGGGCCTAAACCCTGTCCTTGTGCTGCCATCTGTCGGCCGAGTGAGGGTCAGTCCTGGTCACTGACCGGGTGTCGCGGAGCTCCCCAGTAGTTGTGTAACTGCAAGGCCTTTGAGGTCAGAAATCATGTTTTTTTCATGCCTACATCTCTTGAAGTACACTGTATGTGGATGTTTATTAAGCATTTGTGTAATGAGTGAGTTATGTGACTTGGTAAAAAGTGTTAAATTTAAGAGCTCTGATAGAATGAGTTAAAGTAATTTGGCTCTTATGCTGCTTATGATTTGCTCTTTTTTCTCTCTCTTTTTTTAAACTTGTGATCAGAATAGTGAATCTGTCTATTCTGGACATTTACACCTCGTTTCAGACCTCCTCCAAGCTCTCTTCAAGGAGGCCTATTCTCTCCAAAAGCAGCTGATGGAGCTGCTGGATATGGTCTGCGTGGGCCCTTCAGGAGACGAGAGCGGCGGCACTCTGAGTACGGCGGCAGGTGGGTCCGAGGACTTGCTCTTTGGTACGTGGTATAGATTGACGATACATTGCTTGTCAGTTAAATTACTGAATCCAACATTTTATCTAATGATTCATGATAATCTTACTCATTATGACTAAAAAAATTTAAATCCTACATGACAAGTTTTTTATCTAAATTTTAGGATTTGTAAGATAGACATGTGATGCCTTAGGAAATTTCTCCACAGTGATTAACAGAACATCACACAACTTTATACTCTCTGAAGGGCCCAGATTCTGAGGCAGGTTCCTTTGAGTTTTTAGACCACAGCTCATGTAGTAGGAAAGGAAGTTTGCGTTCCTTCCTGGGAGACAGACTTGTGTCATCCACATTTACACACTACACGCGAGGTAACACCCACCCACCGTGATAGGCTCTGTTCTGAGCCATGGCGGAATCGGCAGATGGCCACTGTGTTCCTGCCCTCACTCGCTGACGGATGGGGACCCAGTTGGAGGAGCAGTGCTGTGACCTGTAAGGGCGGAGGCTGTGATTGCGTCCAGCTTCAGTATAAGGAGAGTTCGTTGGTTTGTGTATCAGAACCATTTGCTCCTTCATGAACTGCCCCAAAATGTGTTGGATCAGGACACCCGCTCTTATCTACTCATGATCCTGTGAGTCAGAATGTAGGCTGGGCTCCCCTGGGACAGCTGTCTGTCCTACGTGCTGTGACGTTGCACGTGTGGGGTCAGCGGCCTCAGCCGGAGATTGGCCGAGGCCGAAACATCTTGCCAGCCATGGTGGGTCCCACTCCAGGCAGGCTCAGTGTCCCGGTGGTGGCATCAGGGCTTCTGAGCAGCACAAAATCAGCCCCAGAGTGCGGGCGTTTCCAAGGCTCTGCTGCCTTAGCTTTATTGCTTCCTGGTGGCCAAACCACATCAAGCCCAGGGTCAGTGTGGACGGACATTGCCCAAGGGTATAGACACAGGAGTGGGTATTGTGGCCATTCCTGCAAATAACCTACCACAGGCAGGCTAGAAGCCTTCCTTGGGTGCTATGCAAAGTCATTTAAGTCTTTGCGGGGTTTTCTTTCCTTAGCAGTTTGTCATTTCAGGTTAGAGTATCTGTAGAATATGTTAGTTATAATAGGGCACCACTTTCATTTCACTGAACATTTTCAGTTTTATTTAGGTGACACAGTAGGAATAAACTTCAAAAGTTAATTTTCTACAATTTATGAAAACCTTAAAAGTGTGACACTTATTATCAGTAAGGCTTTTCAAGAAGTTCTTTTCAAAATGCAGTAGGTATTTTAACAAATGTTAAAATTGTTCAATAGATAGCTGTTAGATGTTGGAGAAACTCAGCCCATGTGACATTTGAATGTCTTCAGAGTTCTGTTTATTTCTTTGTAGTTATTCATTCATTGTTGGATATCTGCTCTGTCATTTCCAGTATGGACCATGCGTTTCATGCCAATACTTGGAAATTTATAATTAAGTAAGTTTTTAAAAAAACTTTTGTAATACATTTTCCATGTCCAAAATCTTGCAAAGTTTTTGTATGGGTGTGTATAATGCTTACTGCACCACTGTCTGATAATCCAGGTACTGTTCATGTAGGTCCCAAACCAAACTGAACTTCTTTGCCCTGCTGCCTCTGAGATTCAAACAGTAGTTATACCCAGTTAGTAGTACTTCTGAAAGAATGGGCTTCGGGCCCCAACCTCTGGCCTGTTACTCAGTTAACCGACTGTCACATGTCCTAGTTCCAGGCTTGGACAAATGCCCAGTTACAATGACAGCTAAATGTCAGCCCTTCATTGTTTGCTGTTAAGTTGTTCAAATTTAAGTCCCTTTATGAAGTAATTTTAGTTGGAGCATTGTGAAGGGTCACTGGGTGTGGGGGTGGGAGGGGTCCAGTCGACATGCGAAAGGGGTTAGAACCTCTACTTTGCATGTGCATAGACACTAAAGGTCAGGGAAGCACTCCCAGGTTTTCAGTGCTTTTCCTGCGCACAGGTCACTAAGCTGCCTACGGATGCTAGTGCTGTGTGAGCGTGTTGCCTCAGCCCCACTGCGCGAGTGCGAGCCCAGTCCATGGCCCCTCATCCCAGACCCTTGGGCAGCTTGGGTGACTTGTCTAAACCTCAGTTTGCGCATCTGAAAAGGGGGAAGCTGGTAGCACCTTCGAGTCCAGTGAGAAGCAATTGGGTTTATCAGTGGAAGTGCTTAGAATGCTGCCTGGTGCATAGCGAATGCTCAGTGATAGCCACACACTGCGTTGTCGCTGAGTGCCTTCCATTCACGCCCCCTGGCAGTTCATTTTCTGTCTAGCATTGAGTCTGATCTTTTAAAAATGTAAATCAGATCCTGTCACCCTGCTGCTTAAAATCCATCCCATTTTACTAAGGGGAACTGCCAGATCCTCTGTCGCCCTGCCTGCCTCACCAGCCCGTCGCTGCTGCTCTTGGCCCCCAGACATTGCGGACGGTCCTGTCCCAGAGTCTTTTCACAGCTGTGCCTTCTGCCTAGGCTGGTGTCCTGGCCTCTGCACCTTGCTGACGCCTGCTTCTTAGTCCTCTGCTGAGGGGCCGTGTCTGCATGGTGGCACCCTGTGATATACCCCCACAGGAGTAAGCTCGATGAGGCTGCCATTGCAGCGTCCTGGGCTTTCTCGGCTTAGCACTTATCGCAGCTGTAATTGGTTGACTGTCCCGACAGTTATTTAGTGTTGTGTCTTGGCTGGACCAGAAGACCCACACCCACAGGGCAGAGACTGTGCCTTTTCATTTGCCTCCCTGTCCCCCGGTCCTAGCAGACCCGGCACACATGAGAGTTAATTTCTAAAGAGGAGTAGAAAGTCAGGAATGAACATGGCAGCTTCAGAGGTCAAGTTGGCATATTAGTTATGCCGCAGGTCACGCCTGTGATGCACTGGGGTTTTTACACGTCCCTCAAGTCTTGTTTTTATGGGCCTGAGTTACTTGATGTGTCACTCATGGAGACTGTTCTTTTTACCCATTCAGGCAGAGCATTAAGCACCAGGCAATGATAAAGAGTCAGCTAAAACACAGCGCCGTGGTCAGCGGCTTGTGTGAAGACACTCTTCTCTCCTTCCACTCCTGTGTGCAGCTGGCCGAGCAGACGGCAGAGTCAGGTGCACAGGTAAACCCGCTCTGGCCGCGCTTCACACAGGAGCTCGCCGTTCCTCTGGCAATCGCTGTATCTCGCTTCTGTCTGGATTGGTTTATGTAAAAGGGTTTAATTTTGTTTCTGTTTTCCTTATTTCAGTGTGTGGGATTATTTTTAGAGCACAGTCACTTTCACCCAGAACGCTGCGCGAGGCACCCGTCCGCTCCCACTCCCTGAGGGTCAGCCTGTGCCCGCATTCACACACTGACTAGTCCGTCCAGGCCTTCTCCTTGGAGGCCTTTCCTTCTTTTCCACCTGTGACGAGACCCTAATCCTTAGTCCTGTGTTTATGTCAGGTGGTCTCGCACACTCAGTCAGCCTTTTCTTCCCCAGCCCATTGTAGCCTGTTGTGATGCTCTGTCCAGCTGTGTGTGTGTGTCTGTGTATGTGTGCGCGCACGCGCCATTCCTGTGAAATTAGTGTATACTTAGTGTACTTTCGTTTCAAGAAGCCATAGCGTTGACTTGGCATCCCATTTATGAAACACGTTGTGTTCTAAAAATGTGTAATGTGCTTATTGGGAATTGCAGTTCATTTTCCCATAATAGTGTTATGCATAGCACCTTTTGTTTTCAGACTAGACCTTAAATTTTATTTAACTGATAATTGTCCTAAATTGCAGGATAACAGCTACCTGTAATAATTGAGTGGGAAAATGAATGAAGTATTTCTTCCTAAAATAATGACCGCATCCCTTCCTGCTGTAGGCCTGTAGGCTCGTGTGGGGAAGTCCTTTGTACCTACGCTTTTCTGCCAGCAGCTGTTGGGTGGATGTGTTGGGGTTCACCTGGTTCCTCAGGATGGTCAGTGCCTGGGGCGGGGGTGGTCTGAACAGACAGCCTGGAGGAGGTGGCAGTGGGGGTGGGGCCTGAGGCTGGTGAGCAGGTGGGGAGCAGCCCTACGAGGGCTACTCTTTCCCCCTTTTCTCCGGTCTAGCCTCCCCTTACACCCCTTCTCTCTCCTTTTCCTTTTCTGGCCCCACCTCTGCGCAGCCTTTCTGACCCTCCCTTTGCTGAGGGGGAGGCACTTGGTTGGTATCCTGTGTTGGCAGGAAGGTTGTCCCCTTTTGCACCTTTATCCTGTGCCTCTGCATCCTCAGCCCCACCTCTTCCCAATCTCCTTCGTGCGTAGTTTGACACCACAGGCTCCCCAGGCATGGTGGGTAGGAAGAGGTTTCCTCCGCCCCGCGTGGCTCTTGTAGCTGCCTCAGAATCGAATTGATGTAAGAGTAACAGGAGAAAGAAATTTCATTGTAAAGCACACATAGGGAAGCCATAGGCATGGGTTCCAAATCCCGTCAGGGAGAATGAGGCACATGTGTCATCCTGAGCCAAGGAGAATGTCGTAGGGGTCTGAGACTTCAGAGGAAAAGGGAAGCAACTCACACAGGAAAGAGGAAGTGTTTGGTAAACAGATGTTTGCTGGGCCACACACAAGCACTGGGGCACAGAGGGGAGTTTCAGCAGACCCTGCCACATGCTCCTTGTCCACCCTACGTCGGTTATGTCACTGCAGTTTCTGTGGTGACAGCGATCTTCCTGGAACAGGCTGTCTATCTAAATTACTCTTATGCCATTGAGGGTTGGGGGAAGGTCAGAGGTTCTTTGTAAGTCTTGATTGTTTTCAACTCTGAAATAGTCTTCATGTCCAAGTGGCCTATCTTGGGGTGGCCTGCCCTTGGCTCCTCCAGTTGTAGGACGGGGAAAGCCCAAGCAGCAGGCTGTCCACGAGGTAGAGAAGGCCCGGGGGGTGCCTGACCAGGGTGGCTGTGTGTATAGAGTATGTAAGTTAGCTCATACAAACTGCTTGTGTAAAAATCAGAGAACTTGAATTGTAAACTATCCTAACTGTCCACACAGATTTTCCTATTCTCCTTGGGAGAGTTTGGGACACAAAGATGTGACTAGCTGCTCACTGTCCTTTACCTGAAAAGGAGCTTTGAGGTGGTCTGGTTCTCTTTAAATTCTGATCAGCAGTGCCCTCTGCCGTTCATGTTGGAGCAAACTTAATTATTAAGTCTACAAGGCAGTGGTTTCAAAAGGTCAGAGTAAAACCACCAGATCTAATAGGCACTGTGCTGTTCAAGAAGGCACCTGCGTGTAATAAAGTGTCTAAGGTTCCTGGGGCCTCCCTGACAGATCACCACAAACTGGCTTAAAACGACAGAAATGCGCTTCACAGTCTAAGGGTGGATGCCTGGAATGTGCCGGCAGGACCGTGTTCTCCCGGAGGCTCTAGGGGAGAGTCGCCCCGTGCCCCTCCTTGGCCCCCAGTGTCAGCCGTGTCTTGGCCGCTGCCTCTCTGATCACACGGTATCCCTCCCGCGTCTTCATAGCACCTCGGACGACGCCGTCCATTTGGGCCAGGGGCAGGTTCTGCTCCACTGGTGACCCTTTGACCGGAGAGTCACATTCTGAGGTCCTGGAGGTTAGGACTGCAGCCTGCCTTTCTAGGGGACACGGTTCAACCCTTAACAGCCCTTAAAGTTGAGATTTATTCTCTATTCTTGAACGTGGTTTCAAAAAGAATATTGTATTAGACTTTTTAACATAGTAGTTTTTTAGTCCCCGCTGCCTGTATTTTTTTATGAAGATAGGGAAATTTCTTTGTAAGGCTCTTAAATATGAATTTAATTACCAGTGTCATTCTTCCTTTTGTTTATATGATACAGAACTTGGTATTCAGGAAATAAACATATACTTCTATGTCTAGCTTATATTTAGGTTTATTGCCTGCTTCATTTAGATTTCATCAGTATTTTTCTCCTTTTATAAATAAAAAGGAAGAATGGTTGCTATCTGAAACATTGGTAGTGGTCTTGCTTGTGTCCAGTCCCTTCTTTGTGATCAACTTTGTTTTAAACAGCTCAGTGACTCGAGATGGGGCAGTCTTTGTGTTGTATGCTTGCTTTTTGAAAATATCAAAGTAAAAGCTCCATGTTTAATTAGTTTGCTATTTGGTAATGAGCTTTCAACCAAATCGTGTACAATTTCCTTTTGGATGAACAAGAAAAATTTAGAAACTGTGTAGTTTCTATGGTGTAGAATTCATGTAATAAGTATTTTCTGAGTGTGTAGTCTGTGCCAGTAAAAATACCAGGTGCTAAGTTTAGTTACATATTCTGCCTTTGACTATAGTCTAGGTCGGGAGACAGATAAGCAGGTAAATACAGTGTGCTCTTTGGAGAACTGGGTTGGCTCGTAGGAAGAAAAGTAGGAGCCCAAACATGAAGTTAGGGAGGGTTTCCTGTTGTTATGATACCTAATTGAATAAAGTTCCTTACTCAGTGTGTTAGAAGGTCAGTGTAGACTAGCTCTTTAATCAGTGTACTTTGAAACTTCCATAGCACCATATAAGAGACTTCGTTATTGTCAAAGAAAGAATTGTGACCTAACCTATTTCTGCTGAGGAAAATGGACTGTTTCCAAATATTTTTAATAAAGTTCAGAATGAAGGGTTGTATCCAGTTAGTGGATCATCCAATTCCATTTTGATTGGTTTAATTAAGGCTTTGCTGTGTTGGTGGAAAGAAATCAAGCATGGTTAAGTGACATTGAAGTTCAGTTGTGTTACTTAATAGGAAATTATTCTCAGAGTTAAAGACAATGAAATACCTATTTGACTCAATTTTATGGTACTAATTTATTACAGCTCTTTGGGTTATAGTGTGTATCGCACATTTGGGTAACATAGAAGCAGTGTCATTGAGCTGAGTCATCTGGGAGTCAGATACTGCTTCAGCCTCACAAAGGCCTGAGTATACGCCCCACAGTGGCCCTGTGGTGGCCTCGTGACATTCCAGGGTCACGGGGTGGTTGCTGTAGGGCAGCATTTCAGTCCAGCGGACTCCATAGTCCTCCACCTCCCCCATGTACACAAGGCTGTCTTTGTTTTTCCCACTGTCTTACCGGTGTTCAAAGGTAATGCAGACTCAGAAAACCCTCAAACGTTACACAAACATCTAATGTGGAAAGTGAAGCCATACCTTCCTCTGTTAGAGACACAGGCAAGGCTTTGGTTTATTTGGGGGAGGGTAGGGAACAGATATTATCAAATAACATACTCAAAAACAATAACAGGATTATATGTAACTTGATTTTTTACTTAATTATTTTAGGGCATTCTGTGTCCATGAAGGTGTACTCCCTGATTCTTTTTAATAGCTCTGTGCTTTTCCAGTTGATGAATATACCATGCATTTATTTAACCATTCTCCAGTTGATGGATATTTGGTTCATTTACATTTCTGCTATATAAAGAATGTTGCATTGCACGCCTGGGCTAGTATATAGGATGTGCTTCCAAAAGTAGAACCCTCCTGTGTCAAGGAGTTTTAACACTTTAGCTTTTAATAATAATACGAAGAGTTTTTTATGTTCCTACATATGGTAAAAGAAAGCATTTATTACCTCAGTTCCTCCTCAGCTCTGGGATGTTGTCAGTTATTTTAATCTTTGCTGATCAAATAGCTTTCTCTTTCTTCCCCTCTAAATAATTAGGCTTTAATTTGGATTTTCTCAGTATTTATTAGAAATGTGTATTTTCTGTGAACTGCCTTATACCTTCTATCATTCTTTTATTTGTTATAAGATATTTTTCTTTTGGCTGTCGATCCCCATATAGCAAATAACAATAAGGTATTTAAATTTCTTTCACTTCCAGATCAACCAAGAATCATTACCTCTCAGTAATGCAGAGTTTAATTTTTTGGTGTTTCTCCATTGTCATTTGGTGTTTGTGTTGCTCCTGACAATAAATCAGCGAAGAGCTGTGTCTTTTTGGAAAATGTTTACCCTTAAGTGTTCATTAAGAGATCTTTTTAGAAAGTTCAGCTAGCTTCATATTCTTTTATTCACTGTGCTTTCTTACTTACTTTTTTGAAACAGGATACTGTTGATTACAGATTATTTCAGAAAACGCTCAAATTGTGTCGCTTCTTTGCCAACTCCCTTTTGCACTATACTAAGGTAAGGCTTATGTTTTATAATGTATAAAGGTGAAATCTACAATAAAACAGAAATTGTCCTGTTTTTATCATTCTTGCCCAAAACAGTCCTTTGAAATTACTTTGTCAGGAGTATATTTTGTAGATTTTTTAATTTACTGTTGTTAATGGTTAAATATTGAACATCTCTTAAATCCTTTAAGTTGCAACCACCATCATTACTATTCTTGTTCAGTTCTCTGAAAAAATTATTTTTAAGCATAAATATAAGTAAACTTATTTCTATGAGGACAAATCAATTTCCAGAAGATACAGTTTGTCTTCAAAAACTGTATTTCTGCCGTATTTGTGTATCATGTTATTAAAGTTTAAATGTTTAGACCTTGGACCTGCCTGCCTGTTTGGGGACCATGAGGATAGCAGTGATAGCTGAAGATACAGGAGTAGAATAGGTAATTGCCAAGCAGATCATTCGGAGAGAAGAACAGAGCACTAACAGCAGCCAGTCACACAAGTGTCATCACTAGCAGATCGGCGATGTAAGAAAACGGCCATGCTGGATCTGTTTCTCACGTGGTCTTCCTCTCCCAAGGGGGGAGAGGGGTCTCCAGCGCCTGTTTGGAATGACAGCCCTTGGCAGACACACTGACTGTCAGCACACAGGGCTGCCCTACTAGGTGCTAGGCCCCTGTGGGTCCTGCTGGGCAGCTGCCCCTACCTGTGTCGGCTGCTCTGGCCGCGGGGCCCTGCAGCTGGCAGGTTGCCTGTTCAGTGGCAGAGGTGTGTGGTGGCGGGGCCCTGCACCCTTAGCGCTGGGTGGGTAGTATATCTGATACTGGCCTGGTATATAGGAGGCAAAATTGCTCCTAATTAGCCATTTTCATCAATTCTTTTCTATCAGGGGACTTGAAAACTTTTTAAATTAATCATCAGCTTTTTTTCCCTTTGTCCTGTAACACAATAAAGACTATTTATTTTACCCTCTAAGAGTTGGCCTACCTGTAAGGATGTACTGGATCCTCAGCCTTACTGGCTTTAGCTGTGTGAGTAGATCAGGTTCTTGATATCTTGGCTTCCGTTTTGTGTTTTCTGAAATGGGGATGATAATGTAAGAGTTTTGAGAGGACTAAGGTTCCACGCAGCCCTGTACCTGAAGTCACGTGCGTGTCGTCTGAGCAGTAGGTGCCCTGTAGAGGGCGGCAGCTAATGGTGGTGGTGAAGCTTAACAGTGGGGAATTTTAGGGGTGCAGCCCATCCTGCCATTCATTCTCATGCAAGAACCTTTTTCAGATGGGGCACGTCCAGGGTCTTTTTCATTGTGCCTGCCTTTGTGAGAGAGTATGTATCAGAAAGCACATTATACATGAGGAATGAATAGAGTTGTTCTATTTTTAGGAATTTCTTCCTTTCCTTTCTGATTCCTGCTGTGCGTTGCACCAGCTTTATCTCCAGATACACAGGTAAGAGTGCCAGGTGATTGTTGGAATGTAGCAGAGCCATTTGAACCATGCAGAGTTTAAGTGTATATCATTTTAAAATAAAACCTCGGGGTGATTTTTCTTATTGTCTTACGAATCTATCTGTTTGCATTAAAATAATTAGAGATGGAAGCTTTTAAAGAATAGGTTGTATGTGCGTCTTACTCACCTTTGTATTTTGAACTAGGACCTTGTGTCATCACTTAGTATAAGAATACAAAGGTAAGTAATAAGTTATCTTCGTGTTTTGGTAATGGTATATGGAGGCGAATGCCAAAGGCAGGAAGAAGAGGTTCTATTATTCATGTATATATTTGTATTGGCATATTGTTTTTTATCTTTGTTAATTTTTATTTTACTTCTGTGAGATTTGAGTAGTTAATTCCATCTCAGAAAAAATGGATTACTGACAAGTTTCATAGGGGCTGAGAGACACGAGAGACCAGTCGCCCCAGCAGAGCCGCCCTGACAGTGAACTGGGGCGTCAGCTCCCCTCCAGCACTGCTCTTCAGTCTCCCTGACTTCATCTCTTTCTTCTTTACACTTCCTGCACCCCAGCACCTCCCCCGTTCCTCTCTGTCAGTTCCTAGAGCTTCTGTGAGTCCTGCCACCCGCCCCGAGGCCTCTGCTCCCCTGTCCCCTGGAGGCGCCGTCCTCCCACGCCCTGGGCTCCTCCCTCCATTCCCCAGGGGCCCTGCTCCAGCAGCTGCCCCTCTCCCTCCGCGTCCCCAGCCTTCCACCCCAGGCCTCCGCGGCTGCAGGCTGGCTACTGCTCTTCCTGTCTTGAAGATGAAATCCCCCCACAACAGGACCCCCCCAGGTACTTTCCCTCTCCTCCGGCCTGCTTACAGCAGCGCCCCTGGGGGAGGCCCTGCCGCTGCCTGCTCCCCCTGGAGCTCTTGCTCTTCGGCCTCTGGCCTGCCCCTCGCTCACACTCTTGGGGGACTCCTCAGTGACCCCCATGTCGCTGCATCCAGGGGTCAGCTTGGGCTTCATCACAGGTGACCCTTCCTTCAGAGCTCTTCCTTCTGCTGGCCCCTAGGACCCCTTTTTTCTGTCCTTGGTGCTCCTTCCTAGCCTCCCCAGTGGCCCTGCCCGTCTCCCCAGGTTTAGCTTGGGTGCCCAGGCCTCCGGCCTCTTCTTTCGGTGGCCATCCAGTCCGAAGACTGAATTTCCTTTCTCCTTGAATGTCTGACCACAGTCAGGCCCTCTGCGCTTACGTGACCCAAGTGGAACTCCTGGCCCCAGCCGTTCTGTGCCCCGCCAGCCCCCATGGAGCCTGCCCCTCCTTCCTCTTCAGTGTACGCCGCCGCTGCGTTGTGCGGGTCCATCAGGCCACGGCTGCCACCCCATCATCTCTGACATTTTCTCATGCTCTCATACCTCACGTCCAGTCCATTAGCAAGTCGTCATTGTCCCCTTCAGTGTCAATGCAGGTAGTGGCTGTGTGTACTGAATCCAGCCAGTTCTCAGCTCTGGAACCCCGCCCTCTGACCCTACCCTCTATTACTTTCTTACCTGGGCTTGGGCAGGGAGCGTCCTGGCCACTCGGCCTCCTGTCTCCTTCACTCTAGTCTGCTCTCCATGCAGTTGTCAAAGTGAGTGATAAAACGTAAATTAGATCCTGTGATTCTCTGCACAGATCATCAAGTGACTCAGTATCAAACATTGCATAGAATCAAGTAGAAATTCAGTAGACATTCTGTCCATCGTACCCTGTTTTATTTTCTCTCCTCAGCACCTAACTTCTGCTCTGTTAGGGACGTACTTGCACACTTGTTAGCTGCCCCCTTCATTGAATTTAGACTTTCTAAACGCAGTGACCCTGAGTATGTTTCCTGCTTTGTCACTGGCCCTGGGACTGCAGCAGGTCCCACAGGCATTCAAGTGCATCATCGGGCTGCAACCAGTGCTCGCTGTGTCGCTCGGGCGCTTAGCGGTGAAATTCTCTGGACTTTGATTACCTGTAATTTAATTCTATGTGTGTGTCTTTCACCTTACTTACAATTTGATCCTCATGACAATTCTGAATCACCTTCACAGATGAAGAGACTGAGGTTCAGGGTGGTCAGGTGAAAGAATCAGTTATGTCACTAGTAAGTGACAGGCTGTGCTTTTTCATCACATGACAGAGGCCTCAGTGTTTACACTAAATGCATCCTTTCAAATGATGTTTCCCCTGCTGGACAGGGTTTCACATGCACTGCCATCTTCGCCACAGATGACATAACGTGGCAGAAACCCCGCACTTGTGTCTTCCCCTGCAGAGGTGTGGCCTGAACGTTCACACCGGCTCCTGAGATGTTTCCAGAAGTCTTTGCCTCTCCCTTCAGTGTCAGTGTGCACTGTGGTTCTTGTACAGCTCTTAGGTTTTGCTTCTGAGAAACTGAGCAATAATTCGTAATAAATTCAGCTTTCTGCCTATTTAAAACAACTTTTAATGGAAATAAGCAAGCCAGAAATTATTGAAAATAACTTTATTTGTGATGTTTTTACATCTTATTTAAATCTTATGTAAAGATTCAGGTTTTTACAGTATATTTTTGAATACACTACTGTCAAAGTGGTATTAATACATCAAAACAATACCAAAGGTTTCTCTAAGGTGATAAACTTTTAATTTTACAGAATTGTAGCCTTGTTATTTTATTTTGATCACAGGTCTTTATACAATTGTCATACCAGTTCAGTACATTGAATTTTGTTCATAAGATGCATGCTGGTTTTTTTGTGTGTGTTTTCACTGCTGGAAGAACATGAGTTTGCAGCCGTCAGGTCTGCCTAGAGTTAGAAGGTAGCTCTTAGTGGGTGAAATCGTTCCCCTCCCTCCCCAGCAAGCTCCCTCCAAGCCTGTATGCTGCCGGGATTCCGGATCCCCAGCAGGAAGAAATAGCAGCTGCTTTCCTGGTGACGCTGGACCTGCTTATCAGTCAGCTCCTCACATTCCAACCTTTTGTGCAAGTGGTTTTGGACAGTAAATTAGGTAAAATTCTGAATCATCATTTGTTAACTATAACATGTTAGAGAAAGGGTTGTTTTCCCTTACATAGTTATGCTTGTAAAATTTGATATAAAATCCCTTCTACTTTGTTTTCTTAGAACATGTATTTCATTTAAAAATTATGCATCTAATTTCTTTATATATAACAATCAGATTTCAGCAGACAGTACCTATATGGGGGATGTTTTTACCAGTTTATAATAACTTACTGTGCTTTTATGGTCTGTAAGAGCTCCCATGTGAACTGCAGCTTCCACAGTGTCTTCTGCTGGTTGTCATCCTGGAGAAGCTGCCCTCCCAGCCGGAGGGTGTGCAGGCCCTGTGGTGCACCGAAGGCCAGAGCTCAGGAGCCTCAGCCAGGTGGGCACGTGCTGTCCTTTATCCCAGCCCTGACCCCAGCCCTAGCTCTAGCCCTAGCTCTAGTCCATAACCCTAACCCTGTTTCTTCTGATGATACCGAAATTAAATTTTTTGTCACGTCAGATACTCCAGCAAATAGTTACTGTATAGACCTCATATATATTGTTCTGTAAAAAATTCATAAATGTTAAATGTATATAAATCTATAACAGATTCTAACAATTTTGTTCATTTTTCTAGAAGGTGTTGCCCGGTAGTCGGTGTTGCAAACATTGAGTGTAGTAGAGCAGACATAGCTGGTGACATTTAGAAATGAGTGATAAACAGAACGCTGGGTACCATACGGCCGCCTCCTGGGAGAGCTTGCTTGTACCCAGCCTTCTTGCCAGTGCCAGGCTGTAGGTCTCCTCCAGGGGCTGTGCTGGTATTTCACTCTCCCCTTTAGCCTGTTGTGTGTACCACCACCGGGTTAGGCTCCCAGGAGCCCAGCCCTGAGCTTCCTGTTCTCCTGCTGGGAAACCGAGCATAATGTCAGAATCCCTCGGCCGTGCACGAAGCCTCTCCCGTCTGTCTCCGCCGTCCACACTGCCCCTCGTCCTCCCACTCACTTCTGCACACACACCGTGCTTGTCCGATTGGCTCTGCAGGTCGACCTTTTTACTCATACTCTGTCGTCTTTTCCTACTTGAGTTTTGCCTATTTTTAATTTGTTACTTAAGTCCTTTCACCCTTAACTGAAGATATCTTAAACCATTTCAACCTTAAAATGACTCAGCCCTGCTGAACTTACATAGTAGGTGTTTTCTGTTTTATGTATGCTATCTAATTTAGCTACTTATATGTGAAGTTGTTTGATAAATTTTGTTTTTGTATAGTTCAGCGCTGTGATAAGCTTTTGATAAATGATGAAAAGAGTACAGGAAAAGTCTCCTTTACGGGATTTTTCTGACAGTGACGCAGTCCTGTATATTGGAAACTGTTGTGAATACGTCCTGTTGGGACGTCTGCTGAGATGACTCTCTGCCTGCTGTCCTGCTGTGTGGTGCCAGCGCTGATGGTGTCGGCTCTGTGCACTCCATTCCCTGCAGGCTCTCCCTCCTTGGCGCTGTTTTCTTCAGTTTCGAGCAGTGTTCTGCTGAGCTCTCCCTGCCCGTCCGTCTCCAGGGAGCGCAGGGCCGGGGGCGAGCCGCGGCTGCTGTCACCCTCTATCAGCACGTTTGTGTTCGTCTGTGCGCCTTCATTGCTTCCGTCCACCCCTCCCTGTTCCCTCAGCTGGTAAGTGCGCTCGCTGGGTGGGGCTGAGAGCGTCACACTTCCCTTGAAATTGTGACTCACACAGGACGAAGCGTGGTAATAGTTGACGTTATTCTTTTCGAATGTCCTTCTCCGCTTGCATATTTTACCCTGTAATTCACTTGTGTTTTCAGTAGTGGTAGTCCTAGAGCCCTGTAGTATTCACATGTGATATTTAGTTAAAATATTTGAGAAGACATTTTGAGTGGGAAGGTATGGAAAGTTTCATAAAGAAAATAAATAAATAGTGATATATAGTACCAAGCCTAGGTTTTAGGCATAATGTAATTTTTTTAATGGAATTGGATTAGGCATTGAGAAAATTCTAGGAAAAGAAGGACCAGTACCACCTAAGAGACACAATGGTTAGTGTCCCGCACATACTAATGCTGTATTTGAATAGTTTCAGGCAGAAACAGCAGCACAGGTATATTATATATATACTGTTGTAAAGGTTTCAGGCCCTTAAATTACCTGTGGACTCTGTTAACTCAGTCATGTTTGAAGTCACTTTCGAATCTCCATAGCCCAGCACCATGCCTGGCACACAGTAGGTGCTCAGTGAGTAGGGAGTCGCAGCACAGGCCCCTTCAGGTGCCGGGAGGGGAGCTCTGCTGCCGAGACCTGGCTGGGGGGGCTGTGCCCTTGGTGCTCGCTATCCGGCCTCTCCTCCAGGACACTGCCCTGCTGGACGCGGTGCTCAGCGCGCACATGATCACCTCTCTGCTTGCCGTGGACGCCTGGTGCTTTCTCGCCCGGTACGTGCCCTCGCTTTTCTGAGTTCTGGGTTGATTTGCAGTAGTGACTGGCAGCGGATCCTTTTATACTTGTGAGTTCATAGGGCAGTTCTGTTGGATAGCCCGTAGTAGCCCCAGGCTGGTTTGGCGTCACGCTGCAGCTTGGAGTGGGGCTTGTGCTCCTCGTCCCCCTCTTTGGTTCACGGCGTGGGGACTCTCGTTCGGGCCATTCTGAGTTGCGACGGCCCTTGGCCGTGGGGATCACTGCAGCTCGGGATATTGGGTGCTCTGTGGGGGCCTTTCCTCGCTGTTCTGGGTGGTCGTATAAACAGCTGTGTGCCATCTCTCCTCTTCACGCCTCAGGTACGGGACGGCGGAGCTCTGTGCCCACCACGTCACCGTAGTGGCTCACCTGGTGAGTGGAGTCTCAGGACCTGCGACACTCGCTCTGCATGCAGGGCCTTTGGAATGAGGAGGCGGAGCAGGGCACGCCTGGGGAGATTGTATCCCATTTTCAGAATTTTACAGAGTTCCACTAATTGACTGGGAAAGAAAGACTAGGTTAATTGAGAATAAGTTTAAAATTTGGTGGAAAATAGAAAATCAGAGTTGGAATGTCGACCAGGCTCTCCCCTCCCCATCAGTGAGGGACTAAATGTGATGGTCCTTTTGGGAAATTTGGGGAAATTGTGATGCTTTGTGAATAGCGCAGAGAGAAAACTGTTTTTAGTCTAGTGAGGATTTCTTTTAATCTTTTCACTGGTGACCTTTTTGTACTTTTAAATCCTGAGACACTAGATGTGTCCCAAACAGGATGGCCGTCCTGTTGTTCTGTGTCCCTGGCCTTGGGTGAAGATCCGCAGTGGGTCCTGGGGTCCCTGGTTTCCTTTGGCCGATCTTTTGTGAGTCCTGCAGCCTGAATCCAGCGCCGCAGAGGAACCTCAACGGCTGCTGTCTCACGGCTCGCAGTCCGGGACATTCACCACTTTACTCACCCTCGCACATCTTGCTCGAAACATAAAGAGTGACTTTTATGTTGTGTGTATTATGTCTCCTTCAAATAAAAGCTTTCCTTTAAATGAAAGCTTTTCTAGTACATTATGACAGGAATTTACTTCTAGAAAACCAAGCTTATAAGATTTTCATGAAGTTCTTATCTAAGAGTTAGGTCCACCTCTGTGCAGTTGTTCTTAGGTTGTAAAAAGTTCCATGAATCGTCTTTGAGTAGGAGGATGAACATGTCAGGCTACCAAAGTGGTGATTAGGAATAGAAACTCCAAAATGTTGTCTTTAAATGTGAATTTTTTTTCTCATTATGAAGGTAGACATGGAAGAAAAACACTTTTTAAAGGCCCCAAATTATAAGTCAATATCACCTGTGATTTTCCGGGAAGCACTGCTCCTGTTCTGGCGTCTCGAGGTTCAGTAAAGCTGTGGTGTTAAGTTGGGAAACCTCTTCTCCCGTCTCTCCCAGATTAAGTCTTGCCCGGGAGAGTGTCACCAGCTCACCAGCCTGTCGGTGCTCTTGAGGCGGCTCCTCTTCCTCATGGCCCCCCCGCAGCAGGTAAGGGCCACCTCATGTCCCTGTCTGAGTGGCTGCTGAGATTTGCGCTCAGACTCTGTGGAAGGCTTTTCCCCCATTTATTCTACCCGTAAATGTTGAAATGATCGGAGCATAAATTTCCAGGATGTCAATTGCTTATTGCTTTTAGATAGGCTTAGGTTAGGTGATACAAAGAAAAGCCACGGCTGCACAGTGGCTGCAGTGGTAAAAACAGCTGTTGTTCAGGAGGTTGTGGTAGGAGAAGATCTCGGTGCAGAGCCCACCTGGCTCTGGTGGGAGCACTGAGCAGGGGGAGTGTGCAGTCAGGAGCGAGGTGCAGGCTGGTGGGTGTGAGTGACGGCAGGGCACCCACTGGGGGAGGGGTGCTCGGGGCTGACCAGGGCGGCCAGATGCCAGGCTTGGTGAGGGTGCTTTGTAGGTCGACTTAGCAGGATTCTTGGTCAGATGGGTGATGCAGGCGCTAAAGGACGGGCACACACCCCAGGGTGGAGGTCTCTGGAAAAGACGGCTCAGAAGAGCCTAAGTTTAACTGGGAGAGCTTTCCTCAAACTGTATGCCGCGAAGTGCCGGTGGTCATTCCCACTCTGCCCCCAGAGGGCCTCTCTCCTGTTTCCTGGACATGTCAGATCCTCGGCACAGTGACCCTACCCCCTTGCCCCTAGAAGACCTGGAATATTGTTTATGTTCTTATGTCTCTTTTTTTTTTTTTGGCAGTTAGTTGAGCTTTAGAGATAATTGAAAGCATGAGCCATGGTGGTCTGCTGCTTTGAGGAGATGCCCCTGCCACAGTGGGGGTGTTCCTCCAGTTAAGGCCCCGTGTGGCTCAGCGTGGCCCCTCGGGCCAGCCCCTGACACTGGCAGCTGCCGTGTGGGGACGCAGGTGCCTGGCCCTTACCCGTGCGTCTGAGGCTCAGTAATTGGGCTGTTGACACTGTAAGATCCCCACAGACTGACTGGCTCTGGCCTGGAAGCTACTGGGTGGGTGAAGGGGTTGCAGGCCTTGTCTGGGTCCTGGCTTCCAGTGGCCGTGGGCAGGTCGTCCTTCCAGAATCTCAGGTTCCCGTTCACAGAGGGGCAGCCACATGTAGTAACTATTTTGAAAGTTCTGTTGTAATTTTGGCTCAGAGGTAGTGTGTGCAGCCCCCAGCACAGGTTGGGCTGGCAGGGCGTTCGGGGAGGCTGGGAGTTCCTCTGGCTGGGGTGTGTGCCCCGTGTCCGTGTGCGCTTCCTGCCCCACGGCCGGCCAGGCACCAGAGGAGCCCCAGCAGCCCCGAGCCTCTGCCCCGCAGGCGCCTCTGGGGCCCCCACAGCAGCACCTCCGCAGCCCTGCAGGGCACCGCCTGCCCGGGGCTCCTGACAGCCTGGTGCCCTCCGCTCCCTGCCGCAGGCCCTGTGCTTCCCCGTGCACGTTCTTCACGGCCCGCGGGTGAGCAGGAGCGGGAGGGCCCGGGAGCCTCGGTTTTCTCAGTTACAGGTCAGGAATAAAGCTGCCTGTCCCGGGTGGTTGGATTCTAACCTCAGAATAACAGCTCAGAATGGATCGGGCCCCAGTGAGGTCTGGGAGCTTCGTTCTGACCAGGCCGACCCCGGCTTGCGGTCAGTGACCTCGGGCACTTGTCAGGTTTCTGAGTCCTTCCCCGTAATTGGGGCCATCAGATGCGGAAGTCTGGTTAAGTGAGGGTTACTTTTCACTTCCTCCTTTTTACCGAACACCGATTTCCTGCTCTTGTCAGGTTACTTCCCTTGAGGCTGCCGGCATGTGACCTCCTGTTCGGAGGGCCCTTGGGAGCGTCAGCTGACCCTTGGCTGTGCCGCTGTGCCGGGGAGTCGCACAAGCTCGCTGCACCGTACTCAGCTCTTCCTCCTCCCTAGGACGTGACCCCCTTCCCCAAGGGAGGGGCGAGGGACAGTTTTGAGGTTTAGCGCTCTGCTTTCATTCATCGGTCTGTATGTCAGCCCTGTGGGAGAGGCAGTGCTGTGTCCACTTTACAGAAAAGGCAGCGAAATTCAGGAACACTGAACTTCCCCAAATTCACGTGGAGCACACGGCAGAGCTGGGACTTGCCCTGTCTGTCCTGCTCCGGGATCTGAGCTCTTGTGCTGTGTAGGTGTCACTCGGCTGTTGCTCACATGGCTGTTGACCACAGGAAGTCCGCTTTTCCTGTATGTACTTAGAAAGCTCGCTCAGGAGTTAATTAATAGTGTTTTATTGCTTAAAATGAAAACTTGGAAACCATTGCCCTGTATCATGATATCTTAAGGCCCATATAATCTAATACAAGTTACAAATTTATAAAAATACACATGATAGAAGCAGGTATGTAATGCGTGGCAAGGCAGAGGCACAGAGCAGGCTTGGCCGGGTGTCGAGGACTCGGAAGATGCGCCTGAGGAGGGGAGGTCGCGCAGGGCAGGGATAGGGAGCGGCTAGAGCAGGAGGCGGTGTAGACGTGTGGGCCGGGGGGAGGCCGGGTGGGCCGATGGCCTGCATGGAGGACCATCAGATGGTGCAGGAGGAAGGCAGGCTTTTGTCAGCGATGCAGTGTCAACGGGTGACCAGTTATCCCACGTGGTGGTGTTTCACCTGAACGTGTCTGATGATTTGGGGGAAACAGCAGTTAGTGGATAACCTGCCCTTTCCTCCCGTAACTGTTAATAGTGTCTGTTTCCTGGAGACAGGCCCACATGCAGGAGCTGCCTGGGGGTCTGGGCACCCCTTTTCTGAGCACGCTGACAGCTGTGTGCCCGTTGTTGTGTACAGCAGAAATCACTACAATGCATTCTAAGCTTGCTGGTGTGGTTTTTCTTCCCTTCTCAATTTGAGGGAAGTCATAATTCTGTGAAAATTACTCCCTTATACTTCACTTCTTGTAAACTTGACAGGACTTTCAAACTGTTGAGACCAGGGTTCTTGAATTCAAAGGAGTAAATAAATAAATGAGTCTTTTTGTGTAACAAATTTTGGCTTTTAAAAGTTTTCTGAGTGTTATGACAGGAGTTTTGGGAACGGAGTAAGTCCTTCCACACACAGGATGTATTATAAAGAAAGGTCAGGTTAAACCGATGTTACTAGCTGGTGTAACTTACTTAGCTTTGCTGACACACTTCGCTTCCGTGAATAAAGTGTTTACTACAGCAGCCATGCAGCTTATCAGCTGTTCAGAAGGAGGTCACGTGATTGCCCCTTTGTTTTGACAGCTAAATATTTTTTTGCAAACAATTCAAATTTAAGTATAGTATATAACATAGGGAAGTTTCTCTGTGAAATTTAATAAAGTTTTTTTTTTATATAGGCAGTTTTCATTCAACAAGCAGATTTTGGATATTATAAATTGAATGACTCTACTCCTTAAGAATTATATTAATATTCTTCCTAGTTGGATTGTACTTTATTTGGTAATTAAGTACACCATCGTTTTTACTGTTTTCCCACCACAAGCTAATTTAACATTTTAACTGTTTCTTTTAGAACTTTTCCATTTTTGTTTTGTTTGTAGTTTCGTTTTTAACAAAACCACTGTTTTGTGCTGACATAGCCGGGCCTCTGCCCTGCCACGCCAGTGGCGACTGGGCCTGCCGAGCACAGCTGGTGCGGCCATTGCCAGCGGCCCGAGGCGGAGTTGAGCGGCTGGCCCAGTGGGAGCCGGAAGGGTGGCCTGGTCCTGCGCGCTCGCGGCTGCACTCGGCCGCGGAGACAGCCACAGGCCGGCCGAAGTGGTTGTGGTGGTGTCTGTACAACATGATGTGTACACGGATTCCCGGGAAAATAATGGACTTGCCAGACGGGCATGTGGAGCAGCAGCTCCGCCTAGTGGCGTCACCATGAGCGAAACGCTCTCACGTCCCCTGGTGCAGTCACGCACGTGCCACGGGAGCTCTTCACAGTGCGACACGAGAAATGCCCGTGTTCAGCTGTGTGCCCCAGGCCTGGCACCTTGTGCCGGTTCTGGCCCTAAGAACGTCAGGGATGGAAGCTGACCGTGGCTCTTGCGCCCTGCTCTGCAGGCCAGCTTGTCATTCTTGCTGCCCCAACATTCATTCCAGGTGGAGTTTCTCCGGAACTTCTCCCCCAGAGTGGCAGCAAATCTGCTTCTGTGGCAGTGTGTCTCCTTCCAGGCGTTTCCCGCTGAGCTCAGGGAACAGGCTGCGCTCGAGGTCTGCAGAGCGGGTGCCGACCAGGGCCGGGAGTGGCTGAGCGGCCCCCGCCGTCTGGGAGAGCTTGCGGGTCTGGTAAGGTGATGGTTCTCACGGGCAGGGTCCGTTTGGTAGGCGTTTGCTGAGCGCTGGTCTAGGTACTGGGGACGCATCTGTGCCCTCACACTGGTGGGAGTGCAAATGGCTGCCTTGTAGAAAGGTCGGCCAGAAACTTGCCATCACCCTGAGTAAGTCACGTAGGGGCGGGAGGTCTGCAACTCAGGATGCACTGAAACAGCGTCAGGCATGTTATGAATACTTTATTCCTAGTATTTTCACTGCCTCGTGTCTGGATAGGCAGACATGAGTCTTCTATTTGACGAAACACAGCCCCCATTCTATGCAGACCTCTGAGCCTGTCCGTACCTTTCTACTGAAAATGCTCCCTCTCAAAATACTGGAATAAGGGAAATTCACCTATAAGGAGTAAAAAATATATGATTTTTAAAAACTGAATGTAGTACCTGTTGAATTTCCCATTTACTGCACATTTGTTCATTCATTTATCCGGCAGACGTTTGAGTGCCGTTATGGCCAGGCTCTCTTCTGGGCATTGGGGGTACGTCAGGTAGCAAAGCACACGGTTCCCACTCTTGTGGACGTAGGTTTGAGCTCTGCTGTGGGCAGTAAAGTAATGAATGGACAGATCGGTTTGTGGTGAGCAGAGCAGAACTGAGGAAGGATGGGGTCGGCATGGAAGGGACTGGGGGCCTAGGTACAATTTAAATTAAGAAGCTCAGGGTTTCTTCAGGGCTCTGTTGCCACAGAGAGTAAAATGTTCTGCTCAGTCATGTGATGGCACTTGGCCAGAGTCCAGACAGTGTAAAACAGCTGCATACATACATGTCTGAAGGAAATGTGCCTTTATTAGATACCTAGTTAGGAGTAGTTCAGGTTTTGCATTGGTTGTGTGCTGATTTCTGGAGTAGAGACAGAAGGCCTTTCTTTGTGTTAGGTAAAATAAAAGCACCTATTTTCTAAAGTTGAATAACTCTCTGCTCTAAGACCAAAACTTAAGTGTGGTGATTTAATATATTTACTTGTAGAAAGAAGTAAATCTTAAATAAAAAGCTGTAATTACATAAAGTTAAGTGTGGTTGTTACAGTAAAATGGATTAAAGGCATTCTCATACAGCCTTCACTTCACTCCCACCACACCTCAGCCAACCCCGCTCCTGGCCTGAGACATTTGATACACAGATAAGAGTGAATCCAGAAAAGATTGCAGTTTCAAATACTGGATAGTGTAACCCTTAAGTAGTGTATTTGCTTATTGAATTCAGTGTTGCTGAGGAATTTTTAAATTACTTAAAAAACAACAGCAATAAATATAGTTTTAAGAGATTCTAGGTGTATAATATGAAAAAAAATAGAATATTTAGTTGATAATTATAAATTAGCTTGACTACTGACATTTACATCAAACCTATTTATTAAAATACTGTTTCCATTAAAAGGAAGAAACGTTTGTTTTTTTAGGAAAATGATAAGCCAGTGTTTCTGTGTGTAAGGAAAATTAGTTTTAATAAAATACACTTGTATTAAAGAAATAGCTGAATGGGTCTTAGGAATGCAGTTGTACATGGGTTTTTATGAAGAGTTACAAATAATCCATAAGCCCTAGGTGGTCGGGTTCCGGCTCTATCAGACTGGCATCTGACTGGGCTCCTTGCCCGTCTCCCCGCAGAACACGCTGCTGTCCGCCTTGCTTGCTGTGTGCGCCTCTGCCGGTGATGCTCTGGACAGCGCGCAGCGTGCCGCAGTGGTGGACGTCGGGAGTCGGCTCTGGGCGCTTCTAGACGTCACACTGGTGAGAGCAGCGAGTTGTCTCCCAGAACAGGTGAACTGCTGCAGAGAGCAGGGTGAAGCTCCTGTGGAGCGAGATGTATTTAATGTCTTTGGCTGCTTGGCGCAACTTGTGGCTAGAACTTCAAATATTACTGGTAACTTTTCAGCCCTCTGTTTTCTGGAGTGTGATGAAGTTACATTGTGAAACTAAACCTAGGAAAACGGCCACCACAGTCCAGCTGTTCCATGACCAGTCGGACCCTGCCTCGCTCCTCAGGTGGTTAAGTCTGTTCTGTGACATAGGTTCTTCAGCGAAGCCTTCGGGCGGTGCAGCGCAGCGTCGGCTGGCGTAAAGGTGGGAGGGGCAGGTGGCTGGGTGGGGCTGACGGTGTCCTCCTCCCCAGTAAAGCCAATATCCAGGTGCTCACTGGCTGGAGCTAGAGTGTGTGCCCCCTGCAGGTGCCCTTGAACACTGGGAGGGCACAGGCGCCAGTCCCGGTGCCGTAAAAAATCCATGTGTAACTTGACTCTCAAAACTTAACTGCTCTTGGCTGGAAGCCTCACCCATAACATAAACAGGTGATTTACACATTTTACGTATGTATGATATTCTGTGTTTTTCCAGCAGAGAAGCTAGAGAAAATGTTTCAAAATGTCACAAACCTCCAAAAAACTCTTCCAGTATTTATTGGAAAAACCTGCATGAACGGGGACCCATACAGTTCAAACCTTCAAGGGTCAGCTATAGTTTAAAAGTGACATTTAGTTCAAAATCCAAATACATTTGTTTTGACTAAATGAAATAAGCAAGTGCCCTTCGCTTGCCCAGCCAGTGGAAACCGAGGGCAACACTGCCACTTGGGGGACGTGATAGGGATGGCTTGGCGATCCTGTTTCGTCTTCAGTTCGTTGTGCTCAGACTGCCCCGCTGCCGTGCCCCACGACAGCCCTCGCTGGGTGTCTGCAGGTGGGAGCTTGCAGGGACGTCAGGAGTGGCAGTTAGCAGACAAGTGAAATTGTAAGACAACCAGGAGATAAGGTTTTCGGCTCCAGCAAAAGTCCTTGGATCCCCATCCGAGTCAGATCCAGACCTGAATCATGGCTCTGCTTTTTTGTGGCCGTGTGATCATTACTTGACCTCCCTGCCCCTTTCCCTCAGTGTAAAGTGGGGGTCCTGATGTGCACCTCACCTTGGTGTTGGTAAGTGCTCACTACAAGGTTGCTGGTCTCATGTAATTCAGAATTTTCACCTGAATTTTTGTTTCTAATTTAAGGTAACAAGTCAACCTTCCGTTCAGCAAACACTCAGCCTTCTGTGTCCACTGCTGGGATTTTTCATTCAAACTCTAGATCCTCAGCTGATCAGCCAGGTAAGAGAAGTGAACAGTTGTTTCCTGTGGGCTTTGGGGAGCCATTTGGACATGGACACTGTCCCAGAGGCAGGCCCGCCCAAGAGTGCTGACCGCCCGCTGGTCCCGTCGCTGAGCTGCCCATAAACACGGCCGGCGTGTGCGTGCAGGCGCCACCTCGTTTACTCTCTCCTCTCCCAGACCCAGACCGTTAGTGTCCCGGGCTGTGGGTGCAGCTGCCTCTGCCCCCAGCCTCGTTTCTGTCAGCTGCCCAGGAAAAGGCCTGTGGCGGGGCTGAGCTGCGGGAGTGCTGCCTCAGCAGCCATGGCCGCGGGCTGTACGCAGCCTGGGGACTCCACCGTCCTCACGTTTCTCTGGAGACGTGAAGTGACTCTGAGCAGCAGCATCGCTGAGCTGCCCCTTCCGGCCCCCGTGTGCGCAGCCGGACTGGAGCGGCAGGGTCACAGCCGGGGGATCCTTGGAGTGCTGCCTGGAGGTGCCCCGGTTTTGGAGGCTTAAAGCTGATGGAGAGAGAAAATTGGAAAAGGCCTTCATCTCATCTGAAGCAATTTAACAGCTTTGAGCGGGTCCATACTGGACAGAATTGATCGCCAAATTCAAAGTGGTTTAAGCTTAGTTGTGTAAGAAACAAAACGGTCACGAGGTGAACTGAGCGCGCCCTGCTTGGGTGGGAGGGGGACGCCCGCACAGGGTTCTGTGCTGGTGGGAAGAGGCTCGAGGGACGCCTGGGTTCAGTGACCCTGGGGAGGAGGCGGGTGCGTGAAGATCTCAGCAGTGCCAGATTTACAAATGAGGTGCATTTTGTTACCACAGGTTGTGATACGGATGACTTAATCACAAATGATGAGTACAGTAAATTGACTAAAATTTTGATTCTGAAGGTTCTAATATTTTTTTGAAAAATAAAATATGGGTAATTTTTATGTGATCGTACCCACCTTTAAAAAACCCAAATGTAAAATTTCAAGTAAGTGAATTGTTTATTTAGGCATTGCTTCCTTTATGGAAGATTCAGTGGTTGGCAAACTGCCCTCCTGTTTTCAGCACGAGAGCAAAGGGTGATTTTTACATTTTTAAAGACTTATAAAAACAGAACAATGTGTGGCAGGGAGCGTGTTGCCTGCAAAGCCTGAAGTATTTGCCATCCGGCCCCCGACAGAAAAGTCTGACAGCCCATGCTTTAAATAGTGAACTTCTCTCACTAGATTTTAAACCGCAACGTAACTCCTAAAGACTTGGAAGAAGAGCACCTGGTATAGTTTTTAGGAACCTCCTTCCCCTAATCCGTACTTGGCCCGTTGCCCGAACACTGTGAGAACTGACCGGGTCATCTGGTTGTTCTGCTCAGATTCCGCTTGGGAGGTTCGGGTTCTGCTCGCCCTCCCCTGTCCCCGCCCCCATCCGAGCCTTAGTTCGTGGCTCTGCCAAGCGTGAGTGCTCAGTGCTGACTGTCCCCCGCCCCCGCCCCCAGGGGGTCGCCTTGCAGGCCTCTCTGCTGCAGCGGGAGCCCCCCGACCACGTCTGCTTGGCGGTGCTGGAGTTCGTGGCTTCTCTGGGGAGACTCTTCATGCCGCAAGCTTTGCAGGTGGTTCTCTCAGTTCTTGTTCCTGTGTTAATGCAATTGCCGTAAGAATTGCTGAGGAATTTTTCAGCTTTTAATTTCTTGAATTCTGTGGATTGCGGACAGTGAAGGTTGGGCAGGGCCGGAGGCAGGATACATTTTGTGAAGAGCAGGGTGACTTTGTCGAAGTGGAACTCATTCTAGAGACACGCTGGTGGCCATGGTCTGTGGCCATGGTCTGTGGCTCTCGTCCCAGGGGCTGCAGCCCCGTCCCCGAGGAGGCGTGCGGGTGTGTCTTTGGGGACGGTGTTCAGTGGGGACGGCGGGCGATCGACTGCAGGTCCTCTCTGGGTCTTATATCCACGGGAGGAGGCCTGGTCAAGACAGAATGTCTGAAAATACCGCCAAGTTAGGTATGGCTGACAATTAATAAAATTGCACTGCGAAGGCCTGGCAGTGCCTCCTACTGAATTTTAAGTCACTTCACAGCACAAGGGGATCATCCTCCCAAACTGAGTTTTGCTTTCTTACTATGGTTGAAATCCAGCAATTCTGGATAGTTGGGAGACTGTGAGAAGAGCTCATTGATAACCTTCTCACGTAACTGGAGCAGAAGCGCAGGGGACGTGCCCCCAGTGCGTGTTGATTACATCTTTGAAGTGACAGGCAGCGCCTCCCTTGTCCGTGGGCGGTGGGACCGTCAGTTTCGTCACGCGAGGTCGGTGTGGCTGTTGGCGGCTTCCCTCCCGCTCTCTGGGCAGTGTCTGAAGGCACCCGCGTGAGCTGGGTCAGCGTGAGTGGGTTCCAGTCCTGCGTTCACGGCTGCAGACCCCATGGGCCCAGAGCCTGCGGACAGTGTTGCCCTAGAAATTGCTTCACACACTTGCAGGAATATGTATGTTCCCAGGAGTGAAATTAGTACCTGAATAAACTTTGATTTATCAGCATTGACACCCATGTGATGAGATTGATAAGACTTAATTAAAGAAAACATCACCGAGATCTTGCTGTATGTTACGCACTGTTGTAATCACGGGATTTAATGATGAAAAAATGAATAATTACTTGCCCCCGGCCTGTTGGGAGGCAACAGACCAAGAAGGTGGTGTGACACCTGCAGCGCATCGAAGCGAGGAAGGGGGGGGGCGTGTGCGCGGCCGGCTCTCAGTGGGGTGTCGGCTCTGCCCTCACCCAGGTGCCCTGTGAGCAGAGCCCACCCCTGAAGCTGAGGGGCAGCTTCATCTCTGAGCAGGGGGCGCGGGAGGTGTGGCGGCCGAGGCGGGGGCTGGTGGGGGGCCGGGGAAGCTCTCAGGAGCTGAGCCGAGAAGTGGTGCGACCTGGCACCCCAGGGTGCTCGCTCAGACAGTCCTGGGACCCCGGGGGCAGGAACACTGAGCGTCCTAAGGTTTTTCTCTCCGTTAAGGTTTGGCTCTCGTTGTAGGACGAAGTTCTGCCCAGTCTGTCTTCTGTCTTTGCCCTCTTGCTGGTGGGCAGGAGCTGGCTGCTGGAGCAGCACGCCCTGGAGGCGTTCATGCAGTTCGCCGAGGTAACAGGCCCCTCTGCCACCGCCCCGCACAGCTTCTCAGCACCTCAGGGATTCCGGGAACACCCGGCGGCCTGCTCGATGCCTGTCATACGACTCTCTGCCGGAGGGGCCATTACTCATCACCTGTTCTACAGGATTTAAAAATGAGGCAGAGAAATGAATGACTTCCCTGAGGTCCTACCTAGGACATGCTTTCAGCCCAGGTCTAACGGAGGCACTGTCTCCCACACAGTATCTTTGGGGTGAATGATCCATTTCACCTCAAACTCTCAGGGGCTCTCCGGAGCAGTGAACCCAAGGGGTTACTGCTGAACACAGGCCTGTTTGTGAGGTGGCATGAAGGCGCGGGCTTGCTGCGGGTTGTGCTGTGTGGCAGGATGGCTGTGCAGGGGGAATGAAGGCTGGGCATCTAGACCTGGGCAGGGGCTGGACTACCCTGCGGTACCTGAGAGAACGGGCTTACCGTCTCCTGAGTGTTTTCCTTTAAAATGCATTTTGATTTAGGTAGCCTTCAAAACTCATGTATTTCTCTTTGTGATTCGTCTCAATTTTTTAACAGGGAACAAATCAGGAAGAGATAGTTCCACAGTGTCTCAGTTCTGAAGAAACCAAGAACAAAGTTGTATCCTTTCTGGAAAAGGTATTTACATAGTAATGTCACATATTTTGTTCTTTATCTTTTTTTTTGAAATTGTGCAGTCCTAAGCAAGTCAATAGCTGGTTTTTCAGTATTTAGCACAGGGGAGATGCGTCAGTAAGCAGTCGGAACACATCACAGCTCACAGAAGCACAGCAGCCCAAGCGCCTCCGACTAGCTGGGGCACTAGCCCCGCCAGTTCACAGCGGGGCGGCTGACGAGAGCCTGCCACTAGTCGTGGCGGGGTCACACACCGAGGGGGCTCGTGGCCACGGCTGTAGTGTGGACAGACTCGGGCACGGCTTTCCTGCACCGAGGGAGGCCCAGAGCTCCTCCAGACAGACGCTTCACAGTGAGAAGTGAGATGCGCGCCACCGGAGCGTCTGTGAGCTCGGAGCGTGTGCAGAGACGTGAGGGCGGAGAGCGCCGGGGAGCGAGTCGGGCCTGCGAACGGACTCTGTCTTCCTCGTGCGCCCACGCTGTCCCTTTTCAGACGGTCACAGGTCGTGTGTACACGCTGCAGCTTTTCTGTAGGGAGGGCAACACCGTAGGGTAACCACCCCATCACCTGGAGGACACTCCGGGTGGGTGAGTCTAGCTCGCTGCCAGAACAGTCAGCTCAGCCCTTCTGCACGCCGGCCTTCCCGTTTTTTGCCCGTTACAGCGTTTGATTCTGAAGGCAGCTGGTGCGCCGCTGCTCACCTCATTCTCTTGGTGTCCTGCAGGCCGGGTGTGTAGAGGAGACCGCAGCTGCCCGGGTGGAGCGTGTGAAGCAGGAGAAAGGTGTCTTCTCGGGGCCCTTTGCTAACAGCGCCGCTGCAGAGGGAGCAAAGGGCTCGTCTTCCCAGGTAGGAACCGCTTTTCCGCACGGGTCAAGCCTGAGTAGGAAACTGCCTTACACGGGCGCCAGAGCTGCCAGGTGCACGAGGACGTGCGCAGCTCCTGTCGCACAGTGGCTGCTCTTTTAAAAAGATCACATTTCTACCTAAAGTCACCGACACATAGAACAGGTTGGCTACTGAACAACAGGGTTTGAAACAGCAGACTCAATGTCCTCTTCCCGTGGAAGTCGGCTGCCGGCAGTGCCTTGGGGAGGCCGTGTGTTGGCCCGGGGCCGCTGTCCGAGCAGCCTGGGCGCGTTTGGCCATGTCTGGAAGTCACATCCACCTCTAAAAGGCAGAACTCTGACGGCACTGAGGATGTTAGTACTGTTCTGAGCCCTGACAGGTCATGACTCCAAATAGCCTATGAACAGTGTTATGGAGAGTTTTGGTTGCAGCTCTTAGAACAGGTGTCTTGGCCCCAACCCCACCCCGTCCTGGGCAGAGGCGTCCAAGCATGGCTGTCTGCAGCTGCAAGGCGTGTTTAGACACGGCCACTGGAAGTCACGGGGCGAGGCAGCACTTGTGGTCCTGCGCTGAGGCAGGTGTGGCCGAGTCACGTGCTTTTCTAAAACAGCGGCCAGGGCGGGAAACCTGTACTTGTCTGAAAGGGGAGAACTTCCATCATTTGGGGAAGGTGCCAGGGCTTTACTTACCACACGTTCCCTCACTTGTCAGCCTTATGCAAAAAGAGCCCGCCCAGCGTCCCCCCTGGAGGAAGAGTACAGGTCTGCTCTGCGTGCAGCAGCGGGGGCCCTGGAGGTGCTCGAGGTGCTGCTCCCCAAGGCCCCTGCTCCAGACTGGCTCCTGGGGAGCGTGGAGCTGCTCCAGCAGAGGCTCGGCGGGCTCAGACGTGGTCTGCTCTCGGGGGCTCGGCTGGACGGGGTCGCTGTGGACTCGGGGGGCTCCATCACCCATCAGCATGTTTTGTGAGCGGAAATACTGATGTAATTATGTCTACACGTTTTCTAACATATAAAACTTTTGTCAAGTGGAATCTAGTGAAAATAGTCTTTATTGGACCCAGTACAAGACCGTGGGGCCCCCTCTTTGGTACACGTGGAGCAGTCAGGGCCTGCCTGGGGGCTGCTTGTACACCTGTAGAGAAACAAGCTGCCTAAGGACATCTCAGGTAAAGAAATGATTTGAAATTGCTATTTTAGTACATTTGTACTTCACAATAGAGCCTGCTCTTCTGTTAAAGAAATGGCACGAAATTAAGCTAATCAAGCTTGGATCTTTGTATTTATTTTCTTCTGGAATTGTCCTGGACAAAACGCAGCAGAGCCACCCTTTCCACTGCCACTTGCTCGTGATAGAAACCGGTCACAGCCAGCCGCTGCCTGTGGGCTCCCCGCCAGGGTGTCTCCCAGTGCCGAACGCTCTGGGCTCTCGTCTGCAGAGCCTGCTTTTGAGGTACAAGTTTGGCTTGAACAGGGGACCCTGTCCCTGCCACTGTCACCAGCTGCTGTCGTCCCAGCCGAGCTCCCCTTCTCCCCAGCCTTCAGCCGGCACCTGTAATGAGACAAGCAGACTAAGGCAGCCGCTGAGGGCACGGGATCCTGCAGGCAGTGTGGTGACACCTGCCCGGGCACTGTTGCCCTTGGGGGGAAAGGTACCCAGGCGTGCGCCTTGTCCTTCCCCTGGGGAACTACATGCCCAGCACCCCTGGACCCCACCTGGAGGGGGCAGGAGGGCAGTGCTGGCACTGTGGGCAGCATCCTACCCTCACCTCCACAGTCGCTGCCGCAGCAAATTTCGAGGAAAACATCACTGGTGAGGCTGTGGCTCTGCTGGGAGCCACCATTTGTGCCGTCAGTTCAGGCAACACGAGAGCAGCTGAAGGCTTAATTTCTGGGGTCATGTCTGCAAACCAGTCCAACTCGGTGTCTCGTACTGGCTGCTGCTTCACGTGAATGGTAAACTCCTCTCCTAAACTGAGTTCCGATGGAAGCTTTGGGCGCCTGTCGTGTGACAGTGTCTTCGGTGGCCTGGCTAGGCTAGGGTGGTCCCCTTGTGTGAGCTCAGGCTTTTGGGGTGGGCATGACTGCAGAAGCGTGGCCTCCCTGGCCAGTGCAGGCTCCACAGGGCTGCTGTGGAGGCCGGTGTCACCCCATGTCTCCTCCTCGCCAGGGCGGGGGGCCTGGGCGGTGCCACGGGGCTCCACGGGGCCAGCCTGTGTGCTGCCAGCTTGGTCCCCAGGCTCGCCCCAGTCCGGCCACTCGTCAGGACCTGGGAAGCTGTCAGTGTCTCCCGAGGCGCTCTTCACATCTGAGATTCCGTTTAAGGGAAATTTAACAGGCTGCGTAAAGTGATCGCCTGAGGAGATACATACAAGAATTATTCCCATAAAACACTGGTTAAGAGTATTTAGAAGGTTAACATGAAAAAAACACACAGATGTAATTTCCTGGGAACATCCACGTACACCAAAAACCACAAAAGCGCAGACCGCTCGGACGGGATGTGCGTTAGTTACCGAGCCACATCTAACTGAAGCGCCCAAACCTTTACTGAATATCAAAGGCTGTTTGGCGTGACTATGAACAAGTAGTGTTCGTTCTAGGCCAGCTACGTGACCTCGAGGTGTCATCTGTATGTCCTGAGAAGATGCTGTGTGTGTGAATGAGCTTGCCCAGCCTCACACGCCTTCAGTGGAGACGCGTCTCCTCAGGTGTAGTCGGTAGCAGATTTCAGGGTCCTAAGAACTCTGCCCCAAACCTAGAACCTAGAACTGTTCACATGCCTAGTAACATTCCTTTTTTTTTTTCACTGTGTGGACTTTCGGATCCTCCTTTGCAGGGGATTAGAAAAGAGCAGTGCTTGGCAGGTTCTGACAAGGTGCTTGCAGCACCACTTTTTTTTTTTGGNAGATTTTAAGTTAAATAGCAGCAAATAAGTAGCATTTAAAAAAATTTCTTGAGAATAATCACCTAGTTGATGTACACAGCTAACTAATTTGTCTAAGTATTTTCTATCTCTTACTTAAGTTTTGTTCCTTTAAAATTGTATCTCATTTCTATAGATTCATGGATATATGAATCCTTTATATTTCTTTTGTTAAAAATTTTTATTAAGGTATTATTGATATACACTCTATGAAGATATATACATGAAAAAACAATATGGTTACTACATTTACCCATATTATCAAGTCCCCACCCATACCCCAATGCAGTCACTGTAAGATGCCACAGATTCACTGTTTGTCTTCTCTGCTACACTGTTTTCTCCGTGATCCCCTATACCATGTGTACTAAACGCAATACCCCTCAATCCCCTTCTCCCTCCCTACCCACCATCCCTCCCACAACCCTCTCCTTTAGTAACTACTAGTCCTTTCTTGGAGTCTGTGAGTCTCCTGCTGCCTCTTTCCTTTAGTTTTGCTTCATTGTTACACTCCACAAATGAGAAAAATCATTTGGCACTTGTCTTTCTCCACGTGGCTTATTTCACTGAGCATAATACCCTCTAGCTACATCCATATTGTTGCAAATGGTAGGATTTGTTTTTTTCTTATGGCTGAATTAACATTCTTGGGTAAAACTTGGAATAAGGCATCAGTAAGTCCTAAGTAACATGTGCAAAAAAGAAGTGATGTCCCCCTGCTCCTGCCCAGAGCCCCGGGGAAGGTGAGTGCGGCTGAGCCCACGGTCGCGCAGAGGCAAGCTCAGCCTCAGCGTTCCCGAGTGCCCTCGGTCTGGAATTCGAGCCCACTGCTCGGGAAAATGTCCACCTGAGCAGTGGGGCACCTGTGTAACGGGCACTGCCACCCATCTGTGAAACAGTAGCCTTGCTGTGTGTGTCGTGCTGCCAGAACACCTGGGGACTGTGCTGGCGGGGCTCCCCGAGATGGGGGGGTCTCATGGCGCAGGCAGGAGCATGGCAGGGTCTGAGGGAAAACAAAAGCTCCAGAAACCGCAGGGATTGTGAATTACTCTGTCATGTGTCCAGGGGCAGTGGTCAAAGGACAGGCATGTCTAACCCACAAGAGCTGCACAGAGCATGTCTTCAAAGAGCTGAAGGCCAGACCCTGTTGCAGGAAGGGTGGGTGACAGGGAAGAACCTTTAGGACACCCGGTCATGAGTTAACAGCCTTAGAAACATTCTGGTAGTGGCTTAAAATCATAACTGATTCTGCTTTCCTTTTAAGGATAACAGCCTAAGGGTACAGGCACACAAATGGGAATGTACTCTGCCACAAAACCAGACATTTAAAAATGGTTAAAATGGTAAGCTTTGTTATGGACAGCTCACTCCCAATGGGGAAAAAACTGTCTCAAGAAAATGTCTAGCAGTGCACCAGAAGTTCACACTCAGGAGTGCACAATAGATTTCTAGCAAGTTTTAGGCCAGATATTTCTTGTAACTTAAAACGAGTGCAGCAAATGGCCTTGGGTAAGAAGTGGACCAGGGAGGCCACCCCCTCCTCAGCCCACTCTCCAGCCTGACCCCTGCAAATGTTGCCCCCCCCAATTTCTGCCACAGTCCTGCCCAGTGACACCCAACTTTTTACCCCATGTCCTGTCCCTAAATTGCCTCCCAACTCTGACAGACTCAGCGTTCACAAGGCACACTTCTCACAAACACACCACCAGTCCGTATGCGCGACTCTGACACCCAGGCAAACTGCAGAGGGGTGGGAAGAACACCCACGGGTGCCTCCTTCACAGACCCCCCTTCCCAGCACAGCCCACGCTTTAATCTGGAGGCGCGGCTGCCCCCGGGGCTCACTACTACCACCTCCGATGAAGAGCCGACCTCGGAAATCTGGGGTCAGACCCCTAATGTGCCTTCTCAGAGCTTCAGGAAACTCTACAATGAAAATCCATCTGCTGCTGCATTGGCGCCTTTTCTGTTTCCTACTGAGATTACAGGCTGGCCCAGACGGACAACACGTGAAACATCTAGAACTAGAAAAACCGACAGAACAGAAACAGGAGCGGGAACTGCTGCCTGATCAGCATGCACACCTGCTCCCTAAGCCTGACCCCGAATGGACACTTACTTCCTCCACAGCAGAGGTCCTCCGGCATGAAGCACACACCCCGCCTGCTGTCTGCCCCCGTCTGCTCAGAGAAAAGCTGGTGAGACCTCACTCGGCTCCGTGTGCGCACCTCACGGCTGGAGAGGCGGCTGCCACACGTGGCCCCCGTGAAGCCCTTGTAGCCCCCCTGGCAGGGCCTCCACACCAAGAGGGGCTGAGCATCTCCAAAACTTGAAGCCAGAGTTGCTTTAAAAATGCTAGATCAATGCTAGAGAAAGGTCTGCCTGGTAGACGCTTCTCCTGATAACCATTTCCATGCTACCTACTGGCTACACCCACGAACGCCAAATTAGAGATCCAGAATCCAAAACACAGTCCCGCCCTCAAGGTCATACAGAAGACAAGCAGTGGTACCGTGGATGCAAAAATGCTTGTCTTTTACAGCCTGTAAACACCAGAAATCACCACCACCTCCCACTCACATCCAGTGGGAACATACCAGAAGTAAGATTTCATGAAGTACCTAAATCAACAGCTTTTCACCCAATGGGCCAAAAAACCAAAAGAACTAAACATCCGGTGTCACTGAAACTGCTACAGCCTTTTCGGACCCTGCCGGTATCTCCAGGTGTGCTCTCTGGCCCGGTACGTCCGCTGAGACTATCCTACAGCAGTAAGACGGGACACCGCGACACGCGTGACGGTCCGTCAGCCCCTGCTGCGCTGTAGCGCTAAACCTGCAGCAGGAGTGCAGTTGCTCAGCAACAGGAAGGTCACTGAATGAGCCACACCGTGGGGGTGCAGGCCGTGTAGGCCCTAGGCCCCTGGTCTTGGCCTGGAGAGCAGTCTGACAAGCTGCTACCAGAAAAAATGGAGTTCTGACTGTGTACAGCATCTTCTCAAAGTCCTCCGTCTGTGCATATACATATACAACTTTTTTGGTGAGCTTAAAATAGAGGGACAAAAGGATTCCCACTGAACTATTAAAACTGGTACCTTACACGTGGAGCTGGGGGAGGGGGAGTCACTAACGTCTTCCTCGTAATTCTGTTCTTCGAGTCACCCACCTGGATTATGTACATAATGTTAAAGGACAGACCTTCCATCACTCTTACCTTCTGGAGAAAGGTCGACAGTTTTAGTGAAACTGGGGGCGGTGCGCTTGAAGATCTTGGTTCTCTCCCCTCCTACCACCACCTCGGGGCCCAGCAAGGAGACCAGCACGGCCAGGCTGTGGAGAGTGATTGCCACAATGGAGTCACTGGTATCGCGCAGGCCCAGCAACACCTAGGGGGGCAGATGATGAGGTGACAATCAGGCAGTAAGTGTAGACGGAAACAGTGCCTGCCTTTCGCTGCCCAGGAACGTGGGCAGCTGGGCTGCATCAGGAGGCCTCCACTTACATGTGTGCTCTAGTTCGGCTCTCACACCATCTGTGGCCATGGACCCATTATTTTCCCCTCCCAATCCATCACAGACTGATAAAAACAAAATCAAACCAGCAAATGTATTAGACATGACAAAGTTACTGTTAGATTGCTATACAAGGTTTTAGAGTTGGTAATGATGCCTGTCGGCTCCCACCTCCAGTCCAAGGCCACTGAATTCTTCCAACAGCTCAACCCTTTAGGTCTGCAACACCCAGTTCTCCCAGGTGGTCTCCATCCAAATACTAGCCAGGTCCCATTCTGCTTAGCATCTAAGAGCAGATGAGATGGGCCTGTTTACAGTGGGACGGCAGTTGACGGTGCCCCAATTTATGATAATCTAGATATTCCAATCAAGAGATGCATTTATGGCTGCCTACAAGAGACCGACTTCAGGTCTAAGGACACATACAGCCTAAGAGGGAAAGAATGGAAAAAAATTCATTCCATGCAAATGGAAACCAAAAGAAAGCTGGGGCAGCTGTACTTAAATCAGACAAAACTGACTTTTAGATAAAGACTGTAATAAACAAAGAAGGGCATTATGCAATGATAAAGGAGTCAATCCTAAAAGAAGACATAACATGTATACATACGCACTCAACTTGGGAGCAGCTAAGTGCATAAAGCAAATACTAAAGGGAGAAACGGCAATCCAATAGTAAGGGGCCTTGAATACCCACTCAGTGGTGGACAGATTATCTGGACAGAAAATCAGGAAGGAAACGTCAGCCTTAAATGACACATTTCATCCCCAAGCAACAGAATACACATGTTCCTCAAGTGCCCATGTAACATTCTCCAGGACAGACCACGTTAGGCTGCAAAACAAGTCTTGATATTTAAGAAGGCTGAAATCACACGATGCATTTTTCTGACCACAGTAGTTTGAGACTTAACTACAAGAAGAGCTGGAAAACCCACAAATTATATAGAGATCAAACGACAGGCTTCTGAACAACAGTGGGTGACAGAAAAAAATCACAGGAAGAATCAAATTCTTGATGTAAACAACCTGTCAAAATCTGTGGGATCCAGCAAAAGCAGTTATAAGAGGGATTTTCACAGTAATAAATGCCTGCCTCAAGAAACATGAAAAAAATCTCAAACTAGCTCAAGGAACTAGAAAAAGAACAAATGAAGCCCAAAGTTAGCAGAAGGAAGGAAATAAATATCAGAGCAGAAATAAATGAAACAGACTAAAAAGACAATAGACACACACAAAAAACCCCAAAGAGCTGTTTCTTTGAAAAGATAAAAGTTGACAAACCTTCAGCCAGACTCACCAAAAGGAGAAAGAGACATTAAAAACTGATACCCAAGAAATACAAAAACTACTACGAACAATTATATGCCAACAGATTTGACAAACTAGAGGGAATGGATAAATTTCCTGAAAATATATGACCTAGTAAGACTGAATCAGCAAGAAATAGGAAATGCCAACATACCAACTATTAGAAAGGAGACTGGATCAGTAATCAAAAACCTCCCAACAAGCAGAGGTCCAGGACCGGACGGCTTCACTGGTGAACCCTACCAAACACAGAGCAATTAACACCAATTCTTCTCAAGCCCTTCTGAAAAACAGAAGAGGAGGGAACTCGTTTCACAAGGCCAGGACTACCCTACTACCAACACCAGATAATGCCACAGGGTAATTATAGGCCAATATCTCTGATAAACATATATGCAAAAACCCTCAAAAAATATTAGCAAACTGAATTCAACAGTACATTAAAAAGGCCATCCAGCATGACCAAGGGAGATTCATCCCAGGGGCACGGGGCTGGTTCGGCATTCACCGATGTGATACGCCACATTAACAGACTGAAGTCCTAGAAGAAGAGAACATCTGACAAAATGCAACATTCATTCATGATAAAAAATCTACACAAAGTGGGTACAGAGGGAACATACCTCAACGTTATAAAGGCCACAAATGACAAGCCTACAGCTAACATCATATTCTCTTAAGAAGTCAATACTCACTCTAATCGCTTTTATTTAACATAGTCCTGTAAATTCCAGTCCCAGTCTGACAAGAAAAAGAAAAGGCAACCAAAATGCAGAATTGGAAGTAAAACTGTCATTATTTGTACAGGACATACTATATTTAGAAAACCTTAAACATGCTACCAAAAGACTATTAGAATTAACACATACACTCAAGTTGCAGGATACAGAAATCAATACATAAAAATCAGTTGTATTTCTACATATTAGTAATGAACTATTAGAGAAATCAAGACAATCCCACTTACAGTTGCATCAAAAAGAATAAAATATTTAGGAATAAATCTAACCAAGTTGGTGAAAGATCTGTCCTCTGCAAACTGTACAACACACTGACGAAAGAATCCGAAGACGACACAAGTAAATGGAAAGCCTGCCAGGCTCACGGGCTGGACGAATGCTGCTGAGATGAAATGGCCGTACCGCCCAAAGCGATCTACAGATCTAGTGCAACTCCTATGACAATTTCAATGGCATTTTTCACTGAATAGAGCAAACAACCCTAAATTTTGTATAGAACCATAAAAGGTCCTGAATGGTCAAAGCAATCTTCAAACAGAACAAGGCTGGAGGCATCAAATTCCGATTCCAGCTACAATACAAAGCTATCATAAATAAAGCAGTACGGTACTGGCATGAAAGAGACACATGCATCCGTGGAACAGAAGACAGTACGTGAGACCTGAAACCATACAAACTCCTTGAAGAAAACAGGTGTTAAGTCCCTTGCTATCGGTCTTGGCAATGACTTTGTGAATCTGACACTAAAAGCAAAATCAGCAGAAGCAAAAATAGGCAAGTAGGACTCCATCGAACAAAAGCATCTACACTGCAAGCAAAATGAAAAGCCAGCCTACTGAAATGGGAGAAAATATCTGCAAATCATCTACATGATAAAGGGTTAATATCTGAACCGTATTAAAAAACCCAATAGCAAAAAGAGCCAATCGGTCCAATTACAAAAGGGCGGAACATACAGACGTTTTCCCGAAGACACGGATGCCAACAGGCACATGAAGATGCTCCACGTCCCTCATCATCAGGGAAACGCACATCACAACCGGTGAGATGCCAGAGATGATGGGGACTAGTGCAGCCAATTAGTGGACAGTATGGAGGTTCCTCAGAAAATTAAAAAGAGAACCACCATATAATCTAACAGTTCCACTTCTGGGTATTTATCCAAAGAAAATGAAAAATACTAACTTGGAAAGCTATACTCCCATGTTCACTGCAGCATCGTTTCCAATAGCCAAAATGTGGAAACCACCTGTGTCCATGGACAGATGAATGGATAAAGGAAATGTGGTGCGTAAATATGACGGAAATCATTCAACCATGAAAATGATGAAATCCTGCCATCTGCACTAACATGGATGGACCTTGAAGGCACTACGCCAAGTGAAGCTAGTCAAAGAAAGACAAATACTACGGGATCCCACTTAGATGTGGAATTTTTTTTTTAAGCTGATAAATACCGGGAATGGATTGGTAGTTTTCACAGGTACTGGGGAGAGGTGGGCAAAATGGGTGAAAGGGGTCAAAGGTACAAACTTCCAGTTATTTATAAAATGAGTCCTGGGGGAGTGACATCAGCATGGTGCTGACAGCAATACTGCACAGTTGAAAGCTGTTAGGAAGACAAATACTGAAAGGCTGATCTCATCACAAGGAAAAAGTTGTGGTGCCCGTGTACAGTGACATGATTGATGACTGAACTTCGAGGCGGTCACGTCACAATATATACGAACCCTGAATCATTTCACTAGTGTTATATACCAATTATACCTCAGTTTTTAAAAAAAAGGTTTTAAATGTTATTTTTCCGTACGTGTACCCCACCCCCATTGCAGAGTCATGACAGGCCACGGACATCCATGTCTGCAGTTTCCTCCTGGAGCCGCACATCAAGGTCACGAACACTCTGCCCCCAATCCTCTACTCCTTTCCAGTCTCACACCCACAGGGTTGGACCTTGAAAACTACCTTCGATCGGGTGCGCGTGACACCTGCCCCGACCGGACCAATTATCATGACCGTCTGTCCCCGTGACAGAGATGGGAATGTACAGGAGGCGCTTCTCTCTGCACCGGCTTAAGATGAGGACAGCAGTGAACTCGGAAGCCATGGACAGCCACGCTTGGCCATGTGTACCCCAAAGAGGACAGCTGGGCTTCAGAGTCACAGACACCAAGAGTAAAGGAATAAAGACCGTATGCGAGTCCCAGGGGCACCTGATTTCAATGGAAAGTAGTCTGACATCCTTATTAAATTCTCTTGTTCATTTTAGCTCATTTAGGTGGGTTTCAGTTATTTGTGACCAAAAGAACCATAAGCAGGAAAGTCACAGGCAGGTATCAGGAGAGGCTTTGCTCTGAGTTGGCAGAGGGCCATACGGGGAGTGGCACTCAGAGCACCTGCACCGGCAGATGGGCAGGAACCCCGGGCCAGGCCCTGGCTCTGCTGGAGCCCTGACCAGTTGTTCACTTCCTGCTCCAGTTTCCTCGCTTGCTGAGGATCAAGATCTCCAGCCGGACTCAGCAGGATCATTTATCAGGTCCAGTGCTGACAGATGAGGCACTTTCTCAAAACAAAGCTGTACAAGTCAACTTACTAAAGAAATAAGGCTTATTTCTTTAGCATGTGACTAGAATTCTGTCAAGAGGACACAATGATCACAAAATGACCGGCCTCCACACCAAGGTTCCAGGAGTCGGCCTCGACCCTCTCCTGTCGCGTGAGGTCTGCCCTCTGCTCCTGCTCTGGTGTCTTGGCTGGACCAGCCTACTAGCCTCTGACCTGACCCCCTCCCTCGGCCACACAGCTGCCAAAATGACCCTCCTGGCCCAGAGAACGTGCCGGGATGCCGCTGACGGGGAGGAAGTCCAGGGAGCTTCACTGTCCACGGGCTGAGCACGTGCTCCTTCTCGGACCCCAGCTCAGCGTCGGTTCCAAGACCTCCCGTGGCACTTCTCCCCCAGCGTCAGTACATGTCACCCCACCTCTAGGTTTCCAGACAAAGCCAACTGCGGAGAGCGCTCGCACCGGGAGCAGCGACTGCTACCCTTGGCTGCACGGGACCCGGGCCCCTGTGACTCACTTGACCGCGAGGGGTGTGACAGAGTGACGCGGTGAGTCCCCAGCCTGTGCCTCACGAAGGCTGCTCTGGCGCCTCTAGGAGCCTGGGCCGCTGTGTGAGAAGCCTGCCCTCCCTGCTGGGGAGACGGTGCAGAGAGGTCACGGATGAGAGAGGTCACGCGGAGGCTTTGGGGGGGTCCTCGTGGCCCCCGGCCTCCCCGAGGTGCTGGGAGCTGTTTGGACGGGGCCCCAGACAACCATGGCCGCAGCAGACATGGGGCGACGGCTCATCCAAGCTGACCCAGTCAACCCAAAGAATCAGGAGAATTAAAGGAGTGATAGCTGTTCCCAGGCACTCAGCTGGGGGCGGTCTGTTACACGAGACGGAGCAGAGATCTCCCTCACCTCCTAGCGCCGTGGAAGCAAGGCGTGCGCTCCATGCCTGTCTGCCTGGACCCTGAGCACACGACCTGCCGTAAAACCAGGCCTACGGCTTTTAAATCCCGAGTTGAATAGTGTCTCCCAAAAATTCATGTCCACCCAGCATGTGACCTTCACACGAGGTCATCCTGGTTAGAGTGGGCCTTAAATCCAGTGACTGGTGGCCTCATGAAAGGACATGTGCAGATGCAGGGACACATGACAGCAGCAGAGACTGGAGGGACACGGCTGCATGCCACGGCCTGCAGTCTGCGGGGGGCCAGAAAGGCACGCGAGGGGCCCCCCAGCCCGCAGGGCGGCTGGGTCCTGGGCCCTCGGTTCGCACTCTGGCCTCCAGGGCAGAGAACAGCTTCCCACTAAGCTGCGCGGTTCGTGGTGATTCATCTGCGGTCACAGGAAGGCGACCAGACCCGGGCCCCCGGGGCGAGTCCCGAGGCTCCCGCGCACGGGGCTGAGCGCCGCTGATGCGAGGACCGCACCTTCCTCGGCCACGATTCACTTCATGGCGCTTAGTCACGGACAACACCGCCCACGTCCGCAGAGCGCTCCGCAGTGATTCCTGTCCATTTCCCCCAGAATCAGTGAACAGAGGGCTTCTCTTCAGGTTCCGACCAAACGCGGTCCTTACCTGCCCTGCCCACATGAATGGGGCGGAAACACCGTTCTGGCCTGACGGGCAGACCTGCCCCCGATGCCCGCCACGCTGCCCCCGCCCCTCCCTGGGCCCCGCGCGCGGCTGACCTGCGGCAGGACGACCGTCCTCAGCTGCTCCCGCGGGAGGTGCCCCACGTAGGCCTCCAGGTGTGACAGCAGCACCACGCGCACGTGCTCCTCGTGGACCTCGAACAGCCGCAGCAGCACGGGCACCACGCGCGAGCGGAAGAGCGCCGGCGACAGCAGGCAGGCGGCCTCTCCCTGCGCAGGGGCTGCCCGGTCGGGGCGGGGGACAAGCACACGGGCGCTGGGCGCTGCTCTTGAGGCCCGGGGCCCCGCAGGCTCCAAGTGCGCCCCGGCCAAAGGAGGGCTCCCAGGTCGGGCCAGACCACCCAAGGCTCGGGTTCCCTGACACGCGCTGCCTTGGGGCGGGGCTCCTGAACTGCTCCGTCACCTAGACAGGCTACCGAGCGCGCTCACGTTCCAGTAAGAGCCCTGCGGTCACGCGAGTCAGTGAGGAATCCCAACACTGACCAGAGTGTTGCCACCATTTCAGCTGCAACACCAGGAGGCGTTAAATGCTGCAGGTCTTGGTGCTCCTCGGCTCTCCTGGGTTCCGGTACTGCTCGTGAGGCAGCCGTGACCCGAGCCATCCGGGGACCGCGCATGTGTGCGCACACACGTGTACATGCACCCCTGCCCTCACTCAGCCCCACAGCCGGTACATCAGGCCGGTCACTGACATCCCCAAGTCGCTCAGAGCTGCACCATCTCCGATCTTCCGGGTAACAGGGCGGAAGAGCCTCACAGAGGAGCTCACGGCCAATGGGGGCCACCGGGCAGCGACGAGGCTGGGCTGCACGGCAGCTGCCGGCAGAGGCAGCGTGTGTGACCGAGACCCCTGAGAGCAACTCCGACCGCAGGGTCCCACCAAACTCGGTTATTCTACCGCAGTGACACTGAAGTCTACCTGACCTGTCACCATCTGCAGCGCGTACCAAGGCCCAAGGTCGACCTCATTTGTCTTCAGAAAAACCCAGGGCTCCGGGAAGAGACCTCAGTGCTTCTTAGTCTTTCCACTGGCCGCTCCCGGGAGGTCAGGAGGCAGGGCCCCCACGGCTCACTGCACACGCCAAAGCCCTGAGACGCCTGCCTCCCCAAAGCCTGCACTATTTCACACCCGGGCCCAACGCGTTTGTGTGTGTGCATGTATGTGCATTTACGTGTGTGTGTGTGTGTGTGTGCCTGTGTTTAACGTGCTACTTGCTGCTGTGACAGGCTGGGAGGAAGACGCCCTCACTTGCTGGGGCTTCGGCACCACGTGCGAGTCACCGTGACCACGGGCTGGCCAGCCCCCGTCCTGAGAACCACCAACACACACCGTGGGCCCCTCCCTCTGTTCAAGGGTGGACTAACACTCCCCAAACTCCTTAACTACCCACAGTACTTAGGAAAAGAACTCACCTTGTTTGGGGCCAAGCAGATGAGGGAGAAAGCTCTTAACAGCTACGGGCTCAGCGAACACCAGCTGATTGAGCAGGAGAGGCACCAACCGCGAGGCTATGAGCTCCTCCGACAAGCCGCTGACTCTGTCCAGCAGGAACCTGGGGGCAGAGGGGCCCTGGGAGCCTGGCTGCACGCCACTGCCGGTGCTCAGCCTGGGGAGGCCTCTGAGACGCAGCCCCGAAGCGGGCAGGCTGCCCCCAGGACTTAAGAACAATGCGGGAGGTGGGGGCAGGGCAGCTGGGCAGCAGCGAATGGCCTCTAGCCTGGGCCAGGGCGCGTCCCCCACACAACTGCCCCTTTCCAAGTGGAGTGTCCTCTTCTCCACCAGTAAGCCGGGGCCTTCCGGTCAGTCAGAGGTCCTTTCTCCAGGTTTAACAGACGGAGGACATTAGATCGTGTTGTTTCCAGAGTGTACATGACACGGGCTTTTGTTTTCATCCGTGAGACGCATGTAGGAGCGCGGTGAGGGCGCCAGTGGGGTGCTGGCAGGATCGGCCCACAGTGTGTCTCCAGCAGCTGCCTGCTCACCTCGCTGCGTCCTTGACCCCCTGCCTCACGGCCGCCGGTGGACACCGGGGTCCTGTCCCTCTGTCCTCTCTGAAACCCCCCACTCCCGCGGGAACGCCCGCCTTCCAGGCTCTGACCATCACTTCTTTGTCTCCCTCCTGCCCCGACACGATGGGGTGCCCCATGGTTAGTTTGGGCTCAAGGTCCTTCTCACACGTCCCACTTTCCCTGGGAAAATGTCACCAACCACAGGCAGATGCACCCTCATAGAGCTGAGCCTTGAACAAAGGGTTGGGGGCACTGACCCCTCCACGCAGTGGAAAAGCTGTGTATGACTTGAGACTCCTCCAAACCTAGTGACAGCGCACCGCTGACCAGAAGCCTTACCCGCAACATAAGCGGCCATTTAACACATGGTCTGTATGTCGTCTGTATTATCACCCAACTGTCCCTGGGGGCTCAGGCTGTGTCTCCTCCATCAGCAGCGGAGGAAGGGGACAAGCACGAAACGTCTAAACTAGCAAAACAGCCCCTCGTCTTCAGTCTCTCTCCTCACTTCATGTGTTTTCCTTGTACAAGTGTGAGATGGTCACGCATCTGCGTGTTATCAGACCATTCTGTTCGGGACTCAGACTACCTGAACATTTTCAGAAATCCCGCCTGAAGTTACTGCAGTTTTCAGGCAACTCCACAGAACTTCAGGCAACACTCCCATTGCAGTTTGTGTGCCAGGTTCCTTACAGGGAAGCAGGTTGGAGAAAAGACTCTTTCAAACTGGCACCTTCCCCACCACGAGAACGCCGGGTTGGTGGGACCCACGCAGCTGCCCTGTGCTGTTGCTGTGTCAGCTGAGTGACCCCGGCTTCCTCCCTCGCTGGCCAAACGCCCACGCACGCCTCTGTCCACACCCCACGGGCGCCAACCCCACCGCTGTCCCCGCCCCCCACCCGACTCATGTTCTGCTCATCAATTTCATCTTGCAAATCTTCTAATCTTGGTGTCGTCTCAGTGGTGCCTCACACATCACCGCCTTGACTGCCACCGTCTGCCACAGAATCCAAGTCCTGCGTGAAACCCACCTGTGCCCTCTATGGGCGAGTGACCTGTCTGCGGGGCCAGGGACCCTGGGACAGTGGCTCTGGCCTGGGACGTCGGCAGGCAGTCTCGGCCACGGCCCCACATGCCCCCGGGGTTCCTGTCTTAGAACCCCCCTCCAGCCCAGCCCGCCCCACCCCTCGCCGTGCCTGCGTTTCCACCCAAACACTCATCTCGGCCTTGCCCGCGTCCTGTGCCCCCAGAACGGCCCGAGAGCCCCTCACACCTCGCGGGGCACTGGTCTGTATGTTTCCCTCACCAGAACTCTCCACCCCAGGGCCTTACAGGAAACCTGACATATAGGAAATGTTCAGTGACTTCTGTTCAGGAAACCAAACGTCTGACTCACCCACTGCAGAGCCCCTGAGGTGACTACACAGACCTATCCTAAGTCACTCAGTTTTAGGGTCTTAACTTTCTGAACTTACTTGAAGAATTCAGCTTTTTCCTCTTCACTCTTCAATGTTAAACTTTGCAGGAAATTCACAATTTCTAGAAAATCATTCCTAAATGCCAAAAAAAAATATACGCAGGAAAAAAGATTAGACAAAGCATGTTAAATATTGGAACCACAACCACAAACTGCACGAGAATAACATTCAACAAAGACATTCTCCTATGCCAGCTAGAAGGTTCTATTATAAGTACCTACCCAGGAGAAACACTGAGGGACAAGCCCACAGGGAGTCTAGCATTTAAGAACACAGTGACATGTGTGAAGAGGATGCATGCTCAGCACACACGTGGGCACCCTCAGTCACCCACGTTCGCGGTGGTGACAGGATGAGGTTGATGCCGTGTCCTGGGGGAGGTGGTGTGGCCCTTACAAGCCACGGCAGCCTCGCACTCTCCACGCCACAGGGTCACTTTCTCAGCCAGGCGGAGAAGCGGGCAAGAGGGTGCCCTGTTAGGGCCGCAGGGCACTGCAGCCGCTCAGCTCCCGGGATGGCGTGCGGCCTACCGAGCAGCCCCCAAGGCACGGCTGGCCACCTGGTCTCCACACCTGTGTGTGCTCCTACCCGCACTGGCTGCGGAGCAGAGAAAATGCACAGCTGTCCATTGACGGCTAATCGATCTGGCTCGGCTGCCTGGCGAGGTGCCAGCCCGTGCGCCGCCCCCCCAGCCGGGACAGCTCCCCGGTGAGGTCTTGGCTGGGGAGCCCGTGTGTGTCTGCCCTTCCTCCCCCTCCTGTTTACAGTACAGTTCCTACTAAAGAGCTCATCACTGTGACAAGAGAATGTGTTTCCTCTAAGAACATCAAGGTGAATGAAGTATTACTATAAATCACCCAAAGGACATGGAAACACCGTGGCTAGAAGACGCTGCTAATGGGCAAGGGTAGAGCAGTTTCTCTGAAACACAATGACACCCCTAGCACCCACGAGGACCCTCTGCCCTGCCCTGGCCTCCAGCCGGCTGCCCCGGCCGTGTTAGTGTCCCTTTGTCCAGCTTTCCAGCTGCACACCTATAAGGACCTGTAGTTTCAAAACTGACATAAGATCAGCTGCGCCACAGAAGCCACCGCGGAATCATCCCGTGCGGCTGCGCGGTCACAGGGCACACACAGAACCAACCACGGGGTGAGCTTCAAAAACGCCCGAGTCCCCTGAGACAGCTCTGTGTCCTGGGCCCGCCGTCTACGCCCGCCTCCCGGCTTGTCCATCACTATTATTCAACACAGAAAACAACCTTCTGCTGGGGAAAAATAAGCTCAATTCCCCAACAAAAAAAACTCAGTTATAAACTCCCAGTAGAGCTACAACGGCAGCAGAGAGGAGAGACTACATCTAACTTTCTCGGTGGCCCCACAAGCACCAGCTGCTGGACACAGCCTAGCGCCTCCACTGCGAGAAGCCCCGGGCATCCGGCTGTGGCTCCCAGACCCGAGCCTCCCGTCTGTGCCAGGCACCAGGACGCCGCCCGCCTTCTCCCCCCATTCGTTCCCCGTGTGGCCACGACGCAGTCCCCCTGATGAGTGACACGAGAGGGGCTCAGGCTCGCGTGCAGCCCCGCACGGGCCAGTGGCGGGCGGCAGCCTCACCTGAAGAAGTCATGGGACAGGAGGGTGCGCAGCGCGGGCCGGCTCTGAGGCGAGGGGTTCAGCAGGGCTGGGCGCAGGGTCTGCCGGAAGCTGGGGAGGGCGCCCGCTGAAACTGAAGTCCAGAGCTCGTCGGTCCCCAGGACCCCCCCTGCAGGACTACAGCTGGAGGCCGGCAGGCGGGGTCGGCCTGCAGAAGTCCAAGCACAGAGCCCGGCTGTCAGCCGCCCGCCGGCCCCACGGCCTCCCCGCCCCACCCGCTGACTCTGCTTGGCCTACGGAGCAGGGCTAACAGTGACGGGCTCCTCATCCCCAGGCAGGCACGTGGATGTGTTCTCCTCCCCCCAGGCCGGTTCCTGTTGGCTGCCACTCCAGACCCAGGGCAGGGCGGTGAGTCACCAGCTCCAGGGGCACCTCGGGGCTGGGGGTCTGATTCTCAAGGGCAGAGGCCGGGACAGCCGAAGGGCGCCTGCAGCTCTGAAGTCTGTGTACGCCTGGCGGAGGACACTGCACAGGGCCGCCCGGGGGAGACAGAGGCCCCGCATGGGCTCCCACGTGACGGGCACCCCGTACGCCGGATGGGGGCGGCTGGGGGCCGGGAGCAGGCCTGAGAGGAGGGCACATCCGGGGACCTGGGCCCAGGGGCCCCAGGGGAAGCGGGTGACCAGCATCACACACTGGAGAGGAAACCAGGACTCAGAATGAAGAGACGCTGTGCACGGGGTAGAAATCTTAAGAAATGGTGAATCTCACTCTGTTCTCAGATCATCACAGTGCTCATGCATTTATCACCCAGCTCTGCGGGAACCAGGTCCGTGACCATGAATACCCGCACCGGTCAGCAGGCACAGACGGCGGGGCTCAGGGCCGCCTGCCAAGGTCCTGACCCCCACGGCAGCAGCGGGTGCCCGTGTGGGTGAAGTGCGGGTTCCTGTGGCCAGGATTCTCACTGGCCCCGGCTGGCTCACTACACATGTGTGGGCGATACATTATTACTGACTCTGTATAAAGAGCCCTGACCAGTAACCTGGGCAACACCGTGGCACAGCTGCAGAGCAGAGGCTGGAGTGGTGGCAGCGCTGAGGACAGAGGCCTAAGGATGGCTGTGGGGACAGAGGGGCCCAGAGGCAGAGACCAGCTTGCTGCCTGCAGACTCGCTCTGAGTGAGCGGGCTTTTAGTAACTGACCTGCCACCTGGAAATCAAGTTGGGTATAAACCCTTTCACCCCAAGAATGTTCCCCTGTCATTTCTTTGGTCTCCCTGAATCCACAGTGAACTTGCCTGGGGCTGGAACCCGCCGGCAGGACACGCCGTCAAACCCCGCAGCCCTCCGACTCCAGGCACAGCAGGCGCGGGCAGTGCCCCTACTTACTCTGTGGGTCAAGTGTGACTCCAACTCACCCTGCTCGCTCAAGACCGTGAGCACGCGCTCCACCAACATCCCGAACGAGTAGGCGTCCCTGGCGTGTCCGTGTGATGCTGGCAGGGTCGTGAAGTCTGGAGACTGAAAGCGTGGGGACCGTCAGCGCCGCGGGGTCTGCCTCGTGAGCCACTCCCCATGCTCTCGGAAGCACTTTCTCCCATTTTTGCATTTATTATATTCAAAACCAACTATGTAGTACCACGTACTAATTTATAGGCTCTTAAAATCATTCGTGAATGATACGCATCAAAGATTTCAAATTATCAAACCAGGGCAAAAAAAAAAAAGATCAGAATATACTCCAGTCAGTATCACTAACTGCCATCACCACTACACACACATATGTGGAAATACACACATAACAGAAACAAAAGTTAATAAAACAGTACCTACCCTTACTACCTATGATGTCCAGGGGTATTTTCCTATTTTGCTTTCTTTCCCTTCTCAAAATGCTGACCAGGACCCACAAATCATCACTTTGACAAGTATCAGTATGCACACGTAAGTGATTTATATAAACCTGATTTGTTTCAAATCTGAGGTCTGTCCTTAGTTTACAGTGTAAAGCGCCCTGAACGTGTCCTCTGGGATCAGGGCCCACGGTGGTCACACAATCAAGTTCAGAGGGAACAATGGCTTCAACCTGCTGCTCAGCAGAACCTTTCTTTGCCAGCACAGAGTTAGTTACTCATCCCCCTGGCACATGTTTGGAAACCTAACTCAGGGTCAGGCAGGCAGGCAGATGGCCTGCGTGAAGCCCAGAAAGGGCTGGGGTGTCGCTTCCCCAGCTCCTCTGGCTTCCAGCAAAATATGATCCACTGTGAAATGGCGAAGAGCCTTCCCCTGCGCACGGGAGGGCTCGGGGCCTGAGCAGCCTCACAGGTGTCGGTACGACCAGAGACATCCCCGAGTCGAGAAAGAGGCTCCTGTGGTGGCAGAGGACCTGGAGGCCGGTGCCCTTAGCAAGAGAGGTGGGCACAGGGAAGGTGCCCGGCGCTGTGACCGGGCACATGAGGGGCCTCGCCATCCTGGGCGTGCCAGCTTACCGTCTCCTCAGGAGGGACAGATGTGGGGTCTCTCACTGACTGGATGCTCTTCAGAAACTGGACAGAGAAATAAATTAAGGACAACAGTTTATACGTATGTTTGCTGAGCCGATCTTATGCCAGGTTACAAAGCAACAGGCGATGGAAACTAGCAGTGAGGCCTTCAGACCAATGCCGCACATCAGACACACAAACTCGGAGCCTTCCTGCCTGAGGAACGGCCCTGCACGGGGCTCCGGGGACAGACGCGGCCCCCTTCCCGCCTCCAGCTGGTGGAACGGACACCCGCTGCCCATCAGAGGTGTCTTGGAACCGATTTCTGGGGCAGAGTTAGGAACACTTCCCACTCTGCACGGCCTTCTCCTGGTTCAGCCAGTCCTGAGGCCCTTGGGACTGGGGATAAAACCAGCACCCCAGGACACGTACATCATCCCGAGCCACAGATGACTCTCCGAGAGCCTGTGAGCCCTGAGCCCACACGGGCACGAGGGGCACTGAACGGCGCAGGGAGTGCTCGGCCCCAGCCTGGCCCGCCACCCGGGCTCAGGGGCACACGGCCTGGGGCGGGCTCCGCAGCAGGAGGCCTGGCCAGAGCTTAGCTCCGGCTGAACTTCGGCAGCATCGTACTCCCCCCACAGGGTGACAGACTGGCACACGGAGCAGGGTGAAGGGGGCGCTGTGCACCTGAGGATGCAGCCAAGATGCGCACGACGGGGGCTGCACAGGGCCCCTGACTGTGAGGGTGGAGGGAGCGGAAGGCCGGCGGGGGAGGCCGGGCAGCGCTCACGGCCCACGGCAGCGGGTCGGGGTCGGTCCCACAGGAGCAGCTGTGGCCCCCGACGCGACTCCGAGCGTAACAAGAGGAGCTCCTGGGGGGGGAGCAGCCCGCTTCCCAGGCCTGACGAGGCCAAGGTCGGGGCGCGCAGGGCAATGGGGATCCCGGCTGAGCAGGCGGCCAGCGGCGCCCCTGCACGGTGCCAGGTGGGAGGCCTCTCCTGCCGCCAGGAAGAGAAAGTCGACCAACAAGCAGAAAGGCGGGAGTGAGGGAGGACACGGCGGCCACGGACCGAGGGGACTCGCTCTGCCCCACGGCCCTGCCTGGAGGTGGCGGTCCCCCAGGAGGGGCCCAGAGGCGCGGTCTTAGGTGCGGGCATCGGTGACCTGGACACACCGGACCGCTGGCTGCGGGTGGCTCCCCAGTACCTACTGCCCGTCCCGACCCTGTGTGGGGACCAAGACAGACGCCAGACACAGTCCCATCCTGGAGAATCATGCGGCAAGATGGACAACTAAAGGCGGCTGTGGTCTCGAGGCCTGAGCACAGGCGCCGCTGGACAGGGCAGCAGTGAGCCGGGACCGACCGTGCCGCTGCCTCGGGCCACAGAACGAGAACGGGGCTCACAGCCTGAGACAGGAGGCTGACAGAAGAGCGGCATCCCCCAGCCTAGGCGCCCGCCGCCGCAGGCCAGGCCGCCGCAGAGGCACGCGCGGCAGTGCTGGGGCCCCGGGGCGGCAGGGGGCGGGCTTACCTCCGGGGTGGCCTGGGGCACCGCGCACACCGTCTCCATGCCGCCCAGCTTCCAGTGCCCGTCCTCGCTCACGAACACGGACGACAGGCACACGTTGTTGTGCGTCAGGCGGCCCTGGGGAGCAGGGACGGGAGGGGCGTTCCCATTTCTGGAGCAGAAGCTCAGAAACACTGACCGCTGATCACCGAAGACGATCACGGCGAGCCTTCCTGCCTGTGTCGCGACAAAGGGAGTGCGACCTCCAGGAAGGGCAGGCTGAGCAGCACGGGCCCGCGAGGAGGGACAGGCCAGGGTCCCCCCGCCACGTGGGGCGGCCTGGCAGAGACACGCGGCCTGAGTGCTGCGCAGGCCTCGCGAGCCTCCCCGGGCCCTTCCTCGTGAACGTCAAGTCTCCACAGCGGCGCCGGCTCCAGGCCTTTCACCAGGAAGCTTCTCTTTGCTCCAGAGGCGACTGTATTCACTTTTTCTCACCTACATCCTATCACGAACCCAGATCCACTTCCCCTGAAACCTTGTCAGTAAGCGTTACAAAAATTCTGCCTCAAGAAGAGGAAATGAAATAGGACCAGCAGAAATATCCCACAGGCCACAGAAATGCCAGCTTTAAACCATAAAATACAGTACAAATCAGTGAGAGAGAGAAAACGGTTAGAGGGCCGAGGTCCGGGTCTTTCTCCTCGATACTGTCCCCAGTGGCCCACAGCCGTCCGGGTCTTCACGCGCACCCTCCCAGACCCCGCGCTCCGAAGGAAGGTCCAGTGCGGCGCGCGTTTCCACCTGGCAGGGGAGCACGCAGACGCCGGCCTCAGCACACCAGCACCCCTGCTCGGCGGGGCTGCCTCTGGGGGAGCAGGGCCTGCCCCCGGGGCCCAGCTCTGCCCAGCGAGCCCGCGTCCCCAGCCAAGAAAACCTTCCTCCGGGTGAAGCACGAACAGCTCTTCTCACAGCCTCTTAGATATGCTAAGAGATGATGCATCCCAAGTGATGTCTGGAGAGTCTGTCTCCCAGAAGAGCTTTAATACAACACTTTTAAAATCAGCTGAACGTTAACATGAGTCAAATGCAAGTGTTTCTAACCTGTACCTAGTGTTTCTTAATCTGGGCAGGGGCAGGGAAGCTGCCTTCATCCGTCGGAACGTCCATTCCACTGAGAAACAGCAGCTCAGAAATGCTGTCAGCGATGGGCCAGAAGCAGACGCGGGGCTGGCGCTCTGTCCCCGGGGCAGCAGACACTGCCACGGGTGGAGGGCCGGCTCCCAGTGGTGCCCCTCCTCAGACGGAAGGGATGTGTAAAAACTCTGCCTCTAAGAAACAATCATGTCTTTCTTCAAAATCTAAATGGAACAGAACTCCTGACAATAGGAACGTTGGTCCACAGCCACGTGATGCCAAACCTTCACCTGCCTGAGCACCGAGCACCAGCTGCAGCTGCTTCCAGGTAAAGGTCCATCCACAGCCACAGCGAGCCCGCACAACAGCAAGCGGGTGTACAGAGCACTGCCCGGAACCGACCCCCTGCCGCCCACTCCACAAGCCGCGTGTCTGCAGCGCGTCCTGCGCCTCCCCAGCGGCTTTCAGGAAGAACAGCCACTCGTGGGCCGACACGCGCCGTGATGTACACGCACAGCACACCCCCGGCCATCTCTGCACGCCCGTGAGCTGAACGGGTGCAGGCTACTTACTCTGTCGTGAAGGAAGACGAGCGCCAGCAGCACGTCATAGATCCCGGCACAGACCTCCGCGGGGGACAGCGCTTCCAGGGCCACTCCCAGCGGCTGCACCCGCTCCGTGACCAGATGGATGCCGTCGGCCTCCACCGTGCAGGACAGAAACCTCAGCAGGCACGGGTGCCGAAGCGTTTTCAAGTGCTTTAAAAGTACAGAGCGGATGAAGTTAATGACTCAAGTCAGGCTGGTAAGTTTCATACACAGCGCAGTACAAGTCGATGGGCACAGCGGTCACGGCACCCCCCAGCCCCCCACCAGCCAAACTTCAAGTAAGGCAAAGACGAATCAAGGCTTGTCCTGACTTCATCCGTGTTACCAGCATTTACATGACCACAAGGCCTTCTAGCTCCACAGGGCAGCAGAAGGCCCCGAAGAGCCCGGGCCCCTCGGCGGGCTCTGCCCTCTTTGAACCAACACAGGGCTGCCTGAGCAACGTGGCAGTGAGCGGAGGCACTCGGGCTGCAGGCAGGAGTCAGAGCCGGAGAGGGGACGCCCGTGGGTGGCGTCTCCTGCGTTGGGGGGCATCCCCCTCAAGCTGCACCGAGGCCACCCCAGCTGCAGAGCCGGGCAGCAAAGGTGGCCAATTTATGGGAACCCTGCCATCTTCCTCTCCAAAAGAGTCGAGGAAGGACCCTGCAGGCCTGAGGACGGGGAGGGCACCCCAGAGGGAGGGAAGGGGGAGCTGCTCTCACTCTCTGCCTGCCCACGGGGCTCAGACTGACCCTGAACCACGACGCACACCACGTCCTGGGAGAGCGGCCGAGGTCTGACCGCCGTGCACAGGAGGGGCGGGGGTGGGGCGGGCACGGGACTGGCTGCCTGCGACGCCAGGCCTCCTCCGGGGGATCCCCACAGCATGACGTTCGGACGTCCGGGCCGCGATCCGAAACCACTCGGCCGAGAGCCACGGTAATGTGAAAAGACAGCTCCCGTGTGACCAACCCCCCAGGCGGACCGAGAATTACCAGAAAGCACTGAAGCCGCGACTGTGCGCGCCCTGCTCCGGGCGTAAAGACAGCTGCGAAATGCATGAAGACAGTGAAGTTCTCCCCACAGAAATGAACGTATTTACAAGAACTAAATGGAAATTTGGAAAACTTAAACATTAGAAATAAGAGTCATTAGCTGGACTAAGAGAGTGAGATGAGTGAGGCAGGGGGCAGTGGGCCGGAAGATGTGGGCGGTCTGACGGACAAAGCAAAACAAGTGTTTTTAAAACATTATCAGAGCTTCAGGAACCCACGTGACAACACCAGCCGGTCTGATGTGTGTAACTGGGGTCCCGGAAACAAGGGGAAAGAAACTGGGGCATAAAAATGTAACAGCTGAAATCTTCCCAAATTCAGCAAATACTTAAGTTTACAGATTTAAGAAGTTCAGTGAATGCCAAACACGACACATCAGAAAAAACCCCATCTACACACATTATCACCAAAATGCTGTAAAACAAAGATAAATAAAAATTCTGGAAAGCAGCTAGAGAGAAACGACATGCTAAAGGGAGGACAACGGTTTAGTGACACAAATTTGTCCTCAGAGAAGAAGTGATGTGGCCTGTCCACTCGTGCCACAGGGGCCTCACAGAGGGTTTCTGCCAAGGTAAGTGCCTCGTTCAGAGCCGTGCAGAGACCCCCTTCTCTCCTTCCTTCATTAAATAAACAAGAAGTCACTTTGGACCAAGAGTCTTGCTGGGCATGTTGGGGTTAAAGAATGAACAGGTACCTTGGCGGCTTTATTAACCTTGTCTTTGTTTTCTCTCTTATACACAAAAACCGAAGCGCATTTGCCATCTTGCAGGGCAGCAGGATAGACAGCCAGTCCGGTGGGCAAGGTGAACGGTGGCGCTTCAAGCGTGTAGCTCTTCAGGGCACTGCTCTCCGACCCCATCCCTCGGGCGCCCGGGGCCGCAGCTCCTCCTTGGGGCCCAGCAAACCTGCAAGCACCCGGAAAACACTTTCAGACGCTGGGTCTCTGTGTGCAACAGGTGCACAGGAGCCCGTCGGCCACGCATCCAGACACAGCCCCTCAAGCCTGCTGGTGCCTATGATCCCCATACAGCAGCCGTCTATCAAGGAAGATGGTAAATGCTCAACGAGTCACCAGCAACGCCCCAGACCCGAACAGCTGTGGTCACCGTCCCTCGCCCACCCCGAGCGGACTCAGAACCTTTGGTGTGGCGATCCAGCACAGAGAAAGGGTGTGCACGTGCCCTGCCCTGCTCGCACCCGGTCTCACAGGGGAAAATGCAATAAAACTTGATTCAAAAATGATAACACTTCTGTATGTCTAAAATACCTAAAAATGATGAAGGAAAACAATACAAACTGGAGAATATTTCTAACAACGTTGAGAGGCTTTAACAAATGGAGAATGAGTTTAAGGTAACCAAGCAGACCAGTAGGATAATGGGAGAGGGGCAGACGACTCACAGAGCGCAAATGACAGCACGCTTAAAAACGCAACCTCACTGCCCTTCAACGTTAAGCTAAGTAAAAAGGGGAGGGTACAAAACTATACTGCAAATGCCAAGAAAACCACCACACATACACAAAATTCCAGAAAACACAAACTACTCCACAATGACAGGAAATAGGTCTGTGGTTGCTTGGGGTGGGGACCCGTTTAGAGGGACTAGGAGAAAGGAAAGGACTGCAAAGGATTCTAAGGAAACTTTTGGGGGACTGGGTATGTCCATTATCTTGATTATGATGATTATGGCGGTGGGTGATTACAGATCTCAAAACTCCTAACAAGGTCCCCTTGAAATATACACGTCAATTATACCTCAATGAAGTTGTTTTAAAAGAAACATGTACTTACACCGGTATCTACAGCCTTATCTGTATCTCCGGCTGTATCTGCCGGCCTAGGTACACATATAAACAGGCACACAGACCTGAAACAGACAAGCACTAACAGGGCTGCTGCGGGGCTGTCACCTCACGGGTAACTCACAGACAGACAGACAGACATCTGCCGGCAGCCCCCAACTCTACACTAAGAACGGATCCTCCTTTGGAACAGGACACGAACGCGCTCGGATCCCGGGGCGATGCGGGCAGCCAGGGCCGCGGCGAGCATCGCAGGGCGGCGGCTCCCCGGTGGCCGTGTGCCGCCAAGGAGCGAAAAGCCTCTATCAGGTGGAACTCCCCGTATTTCTCAGTGTTGGCTCGGCGTTTTTATAACCTCTACAGGCCAAACAACACGTTCGAAAAATTTGTGGCAGTTTTCAGTCCTGGCTTTTCCATAACTTGAAAACAAAAAGTAAAAAGAGTTCTTACTAATTCTGACAACGTGACAGTTGCTATGCTAAATACACGACAAAAAATTCTAGAGAGACCTTAAAATTTTCAGTTGAAAATCTGCATCCTTCGGATAAATGTAACCCGATAATCACACACAGAACCTCTACTCGGTGAAGTTCCGGGCGACGCTCTTGCACCAGGGCTGCCCGGGACCCCGCCCCGGGACCCCGCCTCCGAGGGCCGCCGCCGGCCCGAACGCGAAGCCCGCGGACTCCGCCAGGTGTTCACGGGGAAGGGCGGCGCCGGCCCGGGGCACGTCCGCGGGGCTCCTACTCCCCCAGCAGTTGGGAGTCACAGAAATTAAGGGACGGCGCACGGAAGGGCCGAGGGCTTGGCCTCCGGCGCCGCCCCGTCCGCGGGCCCGACCGGCCAGAGGGACGCGCCCCCAGCCCCGCGGGAGCCCCCGCGCCCTCCTGCGCACCCCGCGGCCCCGGGGTCTCGCCGCCGGTCTCCCGGGCTCGGGGCCACACAGCACGACGCCTCCCCGCGCGGACCCGGGGCCGCCGCGTCTCCTGACCTTCCGGTCGGGGTGTCACGGGTCCCGCGACGAGCCACCAGGTCGGGGGCCACGGGCGCTTTACGGAGCCTAAGGCCGGCGACTGTCCCGGCCGTGGGAGGCGGCGTCTGCCCGCCGCGGGGACCCTGGGCGGGCCGGGAAGCGCCGCTGCCATCCGAGGCCGGACGGGCGCGACCCCGCGGACCTCGCGCCCAGCCCCACGCCGACGGCGGCGTCGGCTTGAGCCTCCCCGCCTCCCTTCCTCCTCCTCGGCCTCCCGGCAGCACATCCGGACCCCGCTCCCTCCGCACCTGCCGCGGGGCCCGGCCGCCGGCCTCAGCGCCCCCCCTCACGGCCCGGCTCGGCCCGGCCCCGACGCGAGCGCGGCGTGGGGCCCGGGTACCTGCGGGAAGCCGGCGGGGAGCGGCCGCTCTTCGGCCCCTGCGGCTCCGCCACCCTCGCCTCCCCGCGAGGCGGCGGCCACGGCAACGGGACCTGGGGTCGGTCCCTCCGGCACCATAGAGACGGGCCCGGAAGCCGGGCAGAACGGCAGCGCCGGCCCCGACGCCACCGCGGAGGCGGGCGACCCCGGCGCCGAGTCGGGGCGGCGCCCGGGCGGGCCTCAGGCCGGTGCCCACCCGTCCCCCTACTGCTCCCGCAGCCGCGCAGACCGGTGAAGATGGCGTCTCTCCTAGTCTTTGAATAGGACGAGCCGACTTGTCCCGACTTAATTTTGAGGCTCCCGACCGCGCCGGTCTCCTTCGGCTTCCGCCCGAATCCAAAATGGCCGCCGACCGCCTCTCTCTGACGTAACAGGACGGCGCGGGGACAAGGACACGGTAGTTGGCGAGGACCGGCGGGCGGTGACGTCTTCAGCCGTCGCCCTGCTTGGCGGCGCCCCGGGCCGGAGTTCGGCGAGCGCTGCTGGAGCTGCGGGTAGGCGGGGCCGGTCCTGCGCCGCAGCGTCGGAAGGCCGGGGGTGCCCTCGGCTGCGTCGCTGGTCGTGGTGGTTTGTCCTCGGCGCGCGTGTGTGTCCTTCCACAGCGGCAGGGCTCGCGGCGAGGGCCCCGCCTCAGCGGCTGTAGGTGAGCACGTGAGTCGGCGGCGGAAAGGCACGTCGGGTGCTCAGCTCCCCGGACCCCGGCTCCTGGGCGACCAGGCACGGAAGCCACGGCGGGCCCCGCGGGCTCGGCTTTTTCGGCGGAAGCTCTGACGCGGTCGCTTCTAAGGCCCTTTCCAGCCGAGGGCTCCGCGACGGCCAGGGGGACGAAGGCGAGGAAAGGGGCTCTTTCCGGAAGGCCGCCTAGGTCGTGAGTTCAGAGGCACGAATCACATCTCAGGTCCACATGCCCCTGAGGACCATGATGCACTTAAAGAGGTGGCTCTGGGTAGGAAAGTACCCGTTGCACAGGTATTTAAAATTTTTATGATTGGTTTTTCAAAGAAGCAACCTGAGTTATTTCAAAGGCGCTTTCCAATTCTATTTAATGCTCAAATATAAACCGACCCCCCAAAATAGTTCAGGAGAGCAGTGAATTTTTAAATTCAAGGATTTAAGTCTTTGATCTATGTATTCCCTTCAAAGCCTCACATAATTCCTCCCATTACGGGCACTTAAGGAAATATCTCTAGATTATAGTTAATTTACACTTGCTTTGCTTTCCAAGTAAATTTCCAACACTATAACATTAATGAGTTACTTTCAAAACATTATTTCTTACTCTGTCTTAAAAAAACAAGTGAACACATGGGAAACAGGTATCTAATGAGCTGAATATTCTGTTCCCTAGTTTTCTTCAATGAGACAATTAGCTTTTACATACTTCAGCCTTCATTAATAAAACTTAAAAGCCAAATACTAACCCAGGTTCATGTACGTTAATAGATGTCCTGGGTTTTCTATATTAACTTCAGACTGTTGAAGAGACTCTACCCGTGCATAACATAACATGGCATACGTTCCATTGTTAACTGAAAACTCATGGTTGGTAACTTTGGGAAGCAACCTTCCAGGCACTTGGCATGGAATAAAAGGTGACATTCTTTTTATAAATGTGAAAGATAGCACATATTATATGCAGCACTCAAGGCTTTTCAAGGGGGAAAAATAAAATCCACATGCACAATAAAGAGAAACACACGATTTGATAATTCATTTGTACTCTATGCTGCTTTTTAATAGAAATTAAAGTCACTTAATGTACATAATGTGGAGTTTGTTTTCCAGTCTAGTTGCTTTCCAGTGTCTACTTTTTTGAGTCTCATGGGAAATGTTATCCGGCATCAAGATGTTCTGATGAGTGAACAATGTCAAGCATCAACTGTGCTTCACACAGGACACGGGGTGCAGTTAATCCGAGCTAACAACACAGACGAATATAAAGAAAGACCTGCGGGAGTCTCAGCATGCACTGCTAGGGCAAGGTTCAAAGGTAAGCCAGCCCGCACAGAGTCCTGGGCTGAGCACACACGGAGAGGGGTGACTCTACCGGGACCCACAGCCAAAGTAATAAGGGTCGTCAGGGCGGAATCCATACGCTGTGGCAGGGCGTCCGAGCATGCCAACTGGTTGGCCAAAACCATCCATTCCAAGGCTGAAAAGAGAAGAAGGAATGATGTGTTACGTATTTCATCACACACCCGCCGCACAGGTCAAGTAAGAGGCCTGGAGCTTTATACCTCCAGGGTTCTCTTCCTAGCAGCAGACACGATTTGTGCGGCTATGAACACTTTATCAATACAGCCATAAAGAGGTGTATAATATTTACTTGTAACCACGTGTGTTAAAAATGTTGGAAACCTCTGTCATCAGGTACCATTCAAGACGAGAAGGACAGATCAGAAAAATTTTAATGATTTCGTATATGGCTTTTATGCCAGAATGTTGAAAGATTTTACATACTAGCAATTATCAGTAGTACATGCGAGGGAGTGATAAAATTAAAACTGTATAAAGATAGATTGAAGCATGGATAAACTTAACTTCTGGAGAACTATTCTTTATTAACTATTAATAAATTACTTAGGAGAAAATCTGTTCTCCAAGGCACTTTGTAAGGAGCAGAGAATCACCCAGCTCTCAGCGGGAGGACACAGCAGCTGCTGTGCCGGGCACAGGGGCAGCGGGAACATGCTCAAGCAGGGCTCATGCAGGGGTCGCCAGTGAGCTTTTTCTGGCCAAAGACAATGTTCACAATGCAGAAATACAAGCTTTGAAAAAAATTCAAATGACAAGATTATTTGACGTTATAATAGATGGGAAGATACTTCTCTCCATATCAGCTAAGTCTCAGCATGATTAAAAAATGTACTCATACAGGCACTTCCTTCCTTATCACACTCAAAATGAGATTAAATTAAAACACCTCAGAAATAACTATTAAAATGTTAAGGTTTTAAGTGTGTGTGTGAGAGTGTGAGTGTGAGTGTGTGTGTCCCAGGACAGGGCTAAACACTAAGCCATAATACATACAGGGCATATTACTCATGTCGCCCTCTCTCTCAGGAATGGAACTTCTAAAATGCAAGCATTAGGTCAGCTTCTGTAGCAGGTGAGCCTGGAGAACTCAGCTTCTTGGGCTCCTTCTACACCAAAAACAGTCTAATATCTGAGAGGGGCCGAAACGTTCAGTCTGAACTTGGTTTTGAAGTGGCAAAATGCAAGCACCTCCCTCCCACCTCCGTCCACAGGGAGACGGGGGAGTCCATGGCGAGAACTGTTACCCAGGGCAGCGTGCATGGCCTTTGGAAACTCACGGGGTTGGTGAGCAGAAGCACCGTGAACAGCACCCTCGGGCCAGCGCAGCCGTGTTTTCTCCCTGACCTGCACTGGGACCTCTCAGAACTCGGCGACAAGAGCCCCGTGGCTGCGCCCAGGAGCCACGCAAAGGCACCTGCACGCCGCCTCGGATGCACCTGCCGCAGCGCTGCTGCAGTGACACCCACTGGCGGCAGGTGGCGCTCTGGCGGGGCGTCCGAGCTAAAGGCGCAGAGCAGCGGGCACCTGGGCGGGGCTGCGGCCACTCCTCGCTTCCCAAGGCGCCAGGGGCACCTGGCCTCCAGGGCCGGTCCACACCGAGGGAGGGGCTCCACAGAGTCCCCTAAAGTCCGGGGCCAGGACACACACCGCACAACGGTCACTGCTCTGACCAGCAGGCAGACGTCTCCTACTCCCCAGTAAACGCAGACATTACCCAATCTGCCTGAGAGATGTCCCACTGCACACTGACAAATAAATGGCTATTCTGTTTTTGAACAATGCTAGTCACCCCACTGGTAAGAATCTGCACTGCCCAGTGGTGAAAATAAGTACGAACCTTGACATTGTGAGTTTGTACAGCAAGGAAGCTCGATTTGCACAGTCAGCAGTTCCCCCAGGGGTACCCATGTGTATTACAATGTGCAGGACACATCTGAACTCCCACCATTTAGGAAAAAATTCCAAAGTGGGAAATTAAACAAGCTTTTCTGAAATTATTCATCAAGTATCACAGATGAATTTGCCATTTAAAGAAAAGAATGTCTGAAACATGATGACCAGCCTAGACTCTGACATAAGTCCTAGGTCCTGTTCTATATGAAAGATCAAGTATATCCATATAATTACTGCATTTAAATAAAATCCACTTTAAAACAGAATAGTTTGGGAGAAAGGAAGAAGATGACGGCAGAAGAAGTGAGGCAGAAAAGTGAGGCCAAAACCACATATAATGCTAAAATACAGCAAATCCGACTGATCCTGAAAGAGTGATCCAAAGACTACAGAACAGACGGCCTGCATCTGGGGAAAAGGGAAGACCTGAGAAAAGGGTAAAGTAGCAAAGCTACCATCTGGCCAGACCCCAGCCCTCCCCCAACCCCACCTCACAGGTGGGAGAGAAAGGGAGGGAGTAGAAGCCCAGGACTGCTGAGCACCCAGCCCTGGAGATCTGCTCCAGGAGCACGAACCCACATCACACGGTGCTCTGGACATCAGTGGGGTTGGAAGGCAAAGACGGGCGGAATACTGGGACAGACTGTGATTCCACCCGATTGTGGAGAACAGGTACCCATAACCAGCAGGTACTCTGAAAGACTTCCCAACAGCAAGAGGGCTGCTAAAGGGGCAAGGATTGCACAGAGCTTTCTGCTCAGGAGAAAAGTCAGGTGGACAAATTGTTCCAGCACACTCAGTCCAGCAGGCTGGGAACTTTCAGAAGCTTCAGGTGCTCCATTCCCCCGGCTGGCAATGCAGCTCCGAGGCCCCCCACTGCAATACGCAGCTGCTGCCCCTTCCTCCCGGCTGGCACCGGGTCACAAACCTGCTGCCACCACCATCGCTCCAGGCCAGTCAGAGGGGGGCCCCGCCTATAACAGACATGGGCGTAACGCACAGGCTCCTTCCTGCCCGCGCGGCCCACTGGCCCTGGCAGTGGAGGCAGGTACTGCAGCTGGGCAGCAGGAAAGAGCTCTTTCCTCCCGGCAGGCACCAGCGCAGCTCCCCTGCGACCCCCACCCTCACTCCAGGGGCTGAGCAGCTCCAGACAGTAGAGCTTCTGGGCAATGAGGGTACCACTTACACAAAGTTATCATTCCATAGTAATGACCAGAATGAAACAGCAAAAAAATTTTGTACAAAAATTCAAATGTCAGCAAGAGGACTAAGTGAAACTAAAATCACCAATCTTCTTGATAAAGATTTCAAAATAAAAACCATAAACATGCTCATGGAGCTACAGAAAAAATACTCAAGATCTCAGCAAGGACTTTCAGAAAGACACTTTGCAAACTAGAGTATCTGAAATGAAACGTACAATGGAGGGATTTAAAAGTAGATTAGAGAAGGCAGAGGAGATGTTAAAGAAAACAGGAAAACACAGAAGCTAAGGCACAGAAAGAAAAAAGGATCTCTAGGAATGAAAGAATAAGAGAACTGTGAGATCAATCCAAACAGAACAATATTCACCTTACAGGGGTACCAGAAGAAGAAGAGAAAAAAAAAAAGGGATAGAAAGTCTCTTTGAGGAAATAATTGCTGAAAACTTCTCCAATCTGGGGAAAGAAATAGTCTCTCAGGCCATGTAAGTGCAGAGATCTCCCAATACAGGGACCCTAGGAAGACAACACCAGGACATATAATTATTAAAATGGCAAAGATCAAGGACAAGGACAGAGTATTAAAAGCAGCCAGAGAGACAAATACAAAGGAAAGCCCATCAGGCTATCAGCAGACTTCTCAGCAGAAACCTTACAGAACAGAAGGGAGTGGAATGGTATATTTAATGCAATGAAACAGAAGGGCCTCCAACCAAGAATACTCTACCCAGCAAGATTATCACTTAAATGTGAAGCAGGAATTAAACAATTTTCAGATAAGCAAAAGTTGAGGGAATTTACCTCCCACAAACTGTCTACAGTGTAAAGGGGCTGCTTTAGAAGGAAGTGCTCCAAAGGCTAAACAGCCACCACCAGAGAAATAAAACCACAGTAAAGGAAGCAGACCAATTAATTACTAAGCAAATGCAAAATTAAAACAACTACCCACAAAGTTAGTAAAAGGATACACAAAGAGTCAGAATATGACACCTAATATATAAAGAGTGGTGGAGGAAGAAGGGGAAAAAAAGAACCTTCAGATTATGTTTGAAATAGCATAATAAGCAAGTTCAGAAAGACTATTAGATAGTAAAGAAGTTACCCTTGAACCTTTGGTAACCACGAAATCAAAGCCTGAAATGGCACTAAGTACATACCTATCGATAATCACCCTAAATGTAAATGGATTGAATGCATCAATCAAAAGACACAGAGTTACAGAATGGATAAAAAAGCAAGACTCATCTATATGTTGCTTACAAGAGACTCACCTCAAACTCAAATACATGCACAGACTAAAAGTGAAGGGATGGAAAAAGATATTTCATACAAACAACAGGGAGAAAAAAGCAGGTGCTGCAATGCTTGTATCAGACAAAACAGACTTCAAAACAAAGAAAGTAACAAGAGACAAACAAGGACATTACAACATGATAAAGGGCTCAGTCCAACAAGAGGCTATAACCATTATAAACATATATGCACCCAATACAGGAGCACCAATATATGTGAAACAAATACTAACAGAATTAAAGGAGGACATAGAATGCAGTGCATTCATTTCAACACACCACTCACTCCAAAGGGCAAATCAACCAGACAGAAAATAAGTAAGGACACAGAGGCACTGAACAACACACTAGAACAGATGGACCTAACAGACATCTACAGAACTCTACACCCAAAAGCAGCAGATACACATTCGTCTCAAGTGCACATGGAACATTTTCCAGAATAGACCACATACTAGGCCATGAAAAGAGCCTCAGTAAATTCAAAAAGATTGAAATTGTACCAACCAACTTCTCAGATCACAAGGTATAAAACTAGAAATAAATTATACAAAGAAAACAAAAAGGCTCAAAAACACATGGAGGCTTAACAACATGCTCCTAAACAATCAATGGATCAATGACCAAATTAAAACAAAGATCAAGCAATATATGGAGACAAATGAACAGCACAACGCCCCAACTTCGGTGTGACGCAGCAAAGGCAGTTCTAAGTGGAAAGTATATAG